ACAAAAACCATGTTAGTGAGGAGAGGAATTATTTGGCATTTTTATAAATCTTTCGTATCTGGATTCTCRTATCTGCTTCTGCGTTCAATCTGTTACAATATCATGTGTCTTATAAACTCTGGAAAACACTACATAAGTGAATGAGAATGAAAAGGCAAAAAAAAAAATTTAAGTGTTATGAACATGTTTTCACTTCACAGATCCTTTGAAAGGGTCCTGGGAAGCTCTGAGATTCTCCAGACCACCTTTGGAAAAGCCACTAATCTATTCCAAGAGATGAAGGGGGTAAAAATCCTATTGAATGGTTTGGAGGACAGGAGAGGGAGAGGTTAGACCCCCTCAATTTGACCCACACTCCACAGAAAGCAAACTCAGAGGGTTCTAATAGATTATTTTTGAGATTCCTCCCAACTGTTAAATTCCACATGTGGCTTCACTTTAATTCAACAGACATCAAACACCTGCTATGGGCCAAGTCTCCAAAGGACATGAAGATGAATAAGACATGGTTCCTGCAATCAAAGAATTTGTTATGTAATTGGGGGTCACATAATGTCAGGGCAAGGCCCACTGCCAAATGTCTGGAAATAGCATCAGGCTAGCAGGTAATGGAGAAAGGGCTAATTTCCACTTCCCCATCAAAGGGAAAGACCAGATGCAATTTCCTTTCCTTTTGAACCAGCATGTTGAATAATGCCCCACTGGCATTCAAGGTCCCGATCATCATTTACCTATCTTTGAATTGATTTGCTACCCACTTTACCTCTTGTATGATTGCAGCATGTGTCCTTAGCAAGTTGAGAATCCACGATGCTGACCAGTCTGAAATCTGGCTGTTCCAGGGCCCGCCACCTGCACAGCACTGAACTTTGTTCCTGCTGCTGCTGCCCTCAGGGCACTGCTGTCTGTCTACAAGGCCTTGCCTTGAGGTCCCCCTCTCCTTGACCCCCTTAGCTTTCCCACTGGTGACACCTTACTTCCCAGATCTCCTCCTTGCCAAATTAAGCTCTTTGAAGTGTCCTTAGCCCATCTTCTCCTGAAATTTCCAATCTCTGTTGCTCACTGGCTGCTAAGCTTTTCTTCATTCAGCTCCATTGCTCCCTATCAACCCTTCTCTTCATTCACTGCCAAAACTTGTTGGAAGGGATGGCAGAGACCTGCCCACTCCCTGGCATCATTGTTCCTGTAAACTTCTGCATACTCCCTGTCCCCTTTACTCTGCTTTATTTTGCTAACACATTTGTTGCCTATGTTCTGTACCAGAATGGAAGCTCCCTAAAAGCAGGGATTTTTGAATTTTGCTTCYTGTTGAATCCCCATCATCCAGATAAGTGCTGGGCATATAGCAGGCCCTCATATTTTTGTTGAAAGAATTAATGACTCGTCTTTCCCCACTATACTGTAACTCTGTAAGGATGGGGGCTTTGTTTTGTTCATGTTTTACATTTATATCTTCAGCACAATGCCTGGCACCTAATAAGGATGTTTTGGATTAGTGAATGAATCCAGTTCCAGATAAATTATATATTTTGTTGTTGTTTTGGGGGACACCAGGGATTGAACTCAGGGGTGCTTGACCACCGAGCCACATCTCCAGCCCTATTTTGTATTTTATTTATTTAGAGACAGGTTCTCACTGAGTTGTTTAGCGCTTTGCTTTTCCTGAGGCTGGCTTTGACCTTGTGATCCTCCTGTCTCAGCCCCCCAACCCCAAGCCACTGGGATTACAGGTGTGGGTCACTGCACCAGACAGTTATTTTCTTTTAAAGTTGCTTTTGCCAGGTGTGGTGGCTCACGACTGCAAATTGGGAGGCTGAGGCAAGAGGATTGAAAGTTCAAGGCCAGCCTCAGCAATTTAGTGAGGCCCTAAGCAACTTAGCAACACCATGTCTCAAAAAATAAAAAGGACTGGGGATGTAGCTCAGTGGTAAAGTGCTCTGGGTTCAGTCTCCAGTACCCAAAGAAGCTGCTTGGGTTGCTATTGTTTATATATTGTCCTTTGCATCTTCCCCTTCCTGCTGTGACCTCCACCTTGGCTTTAGCAATAACCTTCAAAGCTCTGCAGCTGAAATCCATCCTGCACATGTTGCCACATTACTTAGCTAAAATAATATTCTGATATTGCTCTTCTGCTCAACAACTGCCAGTGCCTCCCCCTTGTAGTTTCTAATGTATAAAACAGACATTGTTGCAAGCTGTTCAGAACAGTGGAAAAACTTTCTCATTGGCACATACAGATCAATCAAGTCACAGTTCATGATGTGCATATATATATGGGATATATTAACACATATATCCATATATGTATATACATGTTTTTTTTTTTTTTTCATAGAGACTGTAACAGCTCGTCACTGAATTGTAGCTTAAACAAATGTAAAACAATGTTTCTAGAGGAAAATGCTCAGGTTCATTTCAGGATGCCAGGCACAGTTCCCTGCCTGTAGGGAATTCCCCCTCCAAGCCAAAATTGGTGATTCTTATGGGCTGTGACAGCGGCTGTCTAAATACACCTGACATTTAAAGCACTTTCATATTCCAGTGTCATCATGAAATCTTCATGATGAAATCTTTACCCCATCATTCTAGCCAACAGTGATAGTTTTCCTGATCTGAAAGTCTAGATGGCTTATTTGACAGCTGTTCTATCTACTATATTATCATGTATTTTTAATTCCTGAGTATGTCTTAACTCTGAAGAGACTGTAAGCTCTTGGAGGGAAATGGATCCGTTCTTAAATGCTGTACAATCTGTGGCATATAACAGTAAGCATTCATTAAATAGTCACTGTGTAAATGGAAGAATTAATGCCTATTGCATTCCAGATGACACATCCAGGCAAAATCAGGAAACCCATCTTCATAATGGCCATTTCTGAGTTACCTCCCTGCAAMGTGTCCTGTAGCCCTAATATCAGGAAGCTGACTTGGAAATGTGTATGAGTGTCTACAATAGGAAATGGCTTAAAGTATCAGTGAGTCGGTGTGAAATGACCTTRATTAATGTTAGCTACTGTTTTTCACAGGCCTCTATGTGCCAGGTCACTTACATACAGCTATAGTTTTCTGTGAGGAAGCTGGAGCTCTAAGATAGTGTTATATGTCTTACTCAAAAACTTTTCAGGGATACAATTAGGATTTTAAACTTGGCATTGAAAACAAAGTGCTTTTGACCTCAGAGCAGGTTTTCAAGATGATGTGGAGTAACCTATTGTCTCACAGGCTGGTCAGGGATGGTATGCTTGTCTGAGGGCTACACTGAAACTTCTACTTCCTAAAACTTCTGGTTCAAAGGGAATGGTACTGTTTCCAGACCAAGGATTTTTCTTTTCTTTTTTTTTAAACCAAGAGCACATGAGCAGTTTCTCTCCCCACCACTGCCTTCGGATTCCAAGCCCATGGTCATCTGACATCTTCTCTACTCTTGGAAAAACTCAAGACTTGGATCAACTCAGGCATGGTGGCACATGCGTGTAATCCCAGGGACTAGGGAGGCTGAGGTAGGAGAATCACAAATTCAAGGTCATCCTGGGCAATTTAGCAAGACCCTGTTTCAAAATATAAATAATAGGGTTGGTAGAGTGTCCCTAGGTTTGATCCTCAGTGCTACCAAAAAATAAAAATAAAATAAGAAAAAGGCTTGAGTCAGACACTCCATGTGCTGTTCAAGGATCTTGCCTGCAACATTGTTTATAACAACAAAAATAATGAACTACACGATTCCTTATTATCAGCAGAGTGGTTAAATGATAGTATGGTTAACCACTGGGTGAGGCTGATGCCATGCAGCATCAGAGAAAAAGCAAGATACACATGTGTATAAACAGGAAATTCACAGGGCATTTTACATTTACTATTTGTTAAGCATTTTAAGGTATCCAAGAAACAAACAAGGGTTGCCCGTGAGAAGTGCTTCAGAAGGAAGCACCAATAACTTGAACTTTGAGTAAGTTTTGTACATTTTTTGAAAACCAGGAGCATTGCTTTTTATTAAGTCAAAGAAAACGAAGATTGATAAAATGAGTAGAACTGTTCAGCAGATGTGTGACTAGTAAGGGAGAGTTATAACAGGTAATAAGGACATTAAAGTCTCCTAGTTCTACAGTGAGGATGACAGTGGTAACATCCTGATTTCAACTCCAAGGGGTAGAACAGGTGAGAACTCACTTGTAGAAATGGAAAAACCTGGGCTCAACTTTCAGCTGCTCGGGCCTCCCTAACTACAAGCTTTGATATGAGTATCTAGGTGGTGTGAAATTGGAGGGGAGAGGGGCCGCCTTCAGTGTCTGGACGCCTCTTACACASTGGGTCACTCTTTTCCCAGGCTTTGCTTCAAGCTGGACGGATTCCGGTTCTGGAACTACTCTGCCCATTTTACCAAAGGGACATCTCAGGCCCCAAGGGTCACGGAGCTGGGATGTGATTTCGCCCCATCGCTGACCTCAAGGCCTCTCTCTAGTAGCTACGTTCCGGCAGGCCATTCCTGTCCCTGTTGAACTCGGCAGCCACCTGCCACCCTCTATGGCGGGCCTGGGGCACTGGGGGTCCCGAGCCAGCACCGCCGAGGCGGCGTCTACGCAGCAAGGGGCGAGGTGTCTTCCACAGCCACACGAGTCTGCCTTCACCATTCGAATCCCGGGACCGGAGAAACCCGGAGCTCGGCGTAAGCCCGCCCCCGGCCGCTGCGCGCCTGTCATTTCCTCTCCACAGCGCGTGCGGTCTCGAAGATGAGGGAGCGAGAACGTCCACGGCCAAGAAGGCCCTCTGGCACCCTCGGCTTCTGTCAGTTCGTGACCCTATTCCGCAAGCCCTTGGGACCGCGAGCCGCGGCGGCGACGTTCCCCTAGGAAACGCGAGGAAGGCGGGCCCGCGCTCGCCGGGACTGTGCCAGAGCGCGTGCGCGGTGCGCGTGCGTGACGAGGGCGCGGCCGGTCGGGGCTGCGGCTGCGCAAAGGCGGTCCCAGGCCCTGCGCCTGCGCAGTGTCGGGGCGGGGCGGGAAGAAGGGAGGCGGTGGCACCGGCGGCGGCTGCTGAAGAGGAGGAGGAGGAGGAGGGGGAGCGAAGGGAGGTGTTTCTGTCAGTTCCGGCTGTTTGTTCGGGAAGTGGATCCGCCGCTGCCGGAGCAGCCCGGAGGGAGCTGCGGATCGCGAGGCCAGTACCGACCCCGCCCGCGCGCACCGCCCCCGCCCGCCATGGCCCGGGACTACGACCACCTCTTCAAGCTGCTCATCATCGGCGACAGCGGTGAGGGCCGCAGCGGCCGGAGGCGGCGCGGGCCCTGCSGGGCGCGGCCCGCGGGGGCCTCAGGCGGGCGGGCAGGCGGGCGGGGAGGTGCCGGCCCGCGCGGGGCGGGCGGGCGGGGCTGGCCGGCGGCCGCGGGCCCCAGGGGCGCGCCGAGGGGTCCGGGCCGCGCGGAGCAGAGTCGGGGCGCCGGGCTGCCTAGCGGAGGGGCCGGGCGCGCGGGGTTCACTCCCCGCGCCTGTTCCTGCCTCACGTGTGACCTTGGTCAAGTCGCGTATTTTCTGGAGTTGGAGAGACCTGGGTTCGAGTCTTGGGATTACCAGCTTCTTCACTCTGTGACCTTGGGCAAGTTGCTTCACCTTTCTGAGCCTCAGTTCCTGCATCTGAGAAGTGGGGACTTGCCTCGCTGGGTGGTGTGAGTGAGTATTCAGTGAGATAAAGTGGGCAAAGTGCTTAGCGCCCGTTCTGGCGTAAAATAAGTTCTAATTCAGTATTAGCTATTGTTATCATCATCCGTATCTTTTGTAAGACTCACTCCTCTGTAAAATGGGGATATTCCCAGACGTGTCTCATGGGATTGCTGTGAGGTTTAAATGAGGTAAGGCACGTGAAGGCTTCAGCATGGTTCTGCTGAATTATTATTAAATGTCTGCATTRTTCAATTTCCTCATCTCTAAAATGGAATAGTAGTAAATCCACCTCAGAAGGCTGATGTGAGTGTTCAGTGAGATCCTGCATATGTAGTGTTCAGTACAGTGCTTGACTAACAGCAGTGGTCTTTGCTGTCACCCCACCCTACTATGAACCAGAGGAAAATTAGGAGTGGGTTAGCCAATATTACAAATGTGGGCCACATGCACACTCCTTGAGTCTTCCTAGCTCAGATGGCTGCTCCATCTCTAGTTCCTAGAACAGTGCCTGGCAGCCAGTAATAGTTGTTGAATGAATGAACATTGAGTGTCTGCACAAAAGGTAGATTAAGTTTTGGCAAGAGTGAAGGGTTTTAGARGTGTTGGGAGTGCGACAGGTGAGCAGGTTTATGGGTTGACCAAGGCAGGCCCCAGAAGGTTTATGGGAGTATAGCTGAGGTGCTGCGATTATATGATGTCCAGGAAAGAGGCTTGGGAGCAGCTAAGTTTACAGACCAGACCTGAGTTGAGTGTGGGGAAGCTGGTCATGTGATGATTAGAGGCAGAGGCCAGATTGGTGGTAGAGCCCATGGATTGCTAAGGAGAGAGGGAACCAAATCCCTTTTAAGGTTCAGAGTGTGCGGGTATTAGATGCAGTGTTATAGATGGGTGGTAGAAATGGATTGTTTTTTGGTCTCACTTATGAAGTGGGATTGGGAATGTGGTTGGTGGCTTAGATCTGGTGGAAGATGGCTGGGGTTTCTGTGGTTGCCGATGGAGGGGAGATGTAAGGGGAAGAGTTGGGGGCTAACCAACCAATAAGATGGAGGAGTCACTGTGGTTGGGGATGGAGTTAGAAAGGTGGAGGACTGATTGGTTATGATTTGAATGAAATAACTAGATAAGCTGTGATGCCTTGTACTTTGACATGGCCTTTGGCACTCCTCAAGGTCCTGAGGCTTATACCTTTATAGGATTTACTTTCTGCTCTGGCCTTGGTTCTGAGCAGCTGGCCCAAGGTGATTTCTCTCCTTTTGCAATTAAAGTTAGCCCATCATGGTCAAAGGTCTTTACCCCCTGCAAGTCATCTTCAGCTTGTGTGTTGACTCCAAAAATGAAAGGCCTAAAGTTAGCAAGAAGATGCAGCTTGCTGGCTTTTCTACCCCAAAAAACCCAGGGGATGATTTTGGCCTTCTTTCTTAACAGTGCACTTTGCCTGGGGTATTGATTTTGTGCTCAGAAGTCAGGTAGGGAGAAGACTCATGGGGTCAAGATTTATGTGGTCTGGCTCCTATTTCAGTATGAGCATGTAGGCCTGGCTTGTGGAGAGGAGCTAGATGCTTTGCTGTTTGATTTCTCCTGACAGTGAGTTGATACTCCAAGTTGAACACTTAGGAGACTGGGAGATGGTAGACTTGGGAGTTCAAACTAAGCTTTGCAGATGAGTGGGGAACCTGACATCCTCACTACCCCACACTGACCTCCTTGTGYGTGTGCTTCCTTAGGGGCGTATCAAATGATTTCACAGATACTTTCTCATCTGATTCTCACCCATCGCCCGTGCAGCTTGTCAAATAAGGAAACTAAGGCTCAGAGGAGGTGACTGGCTTGCCCAAAATCACACAGCTTATCAGAGGCAAAGCTGGGAATTAATGCACATCCTTCTAATATGGGTGAGAGCATCTGGTGTTAGGCTGGCAAACTGTAGGTCCTCAATGAATGTTAGTTTCTTTCTTTATAAATCTAGAGTTCTTCTTTCCACTCTGCCACATTGCACATGCTTCTGGAATGTATTCCCTCAGTTTTTGCATCTCTTCTTTTATGCCTGTGATTCTACACTTCTTCTTTATTTTTTGTGACATTGGCTCAGATTTGTAACCACATTTCATCTGCATCCACTGGGTCAGTCATCCTCATTCTTAGAACCTGGAGTGGTTTTCAGAGACCTAGTTAAAGCCCTTTACAGATGAGTAAACTGAGGCTCAGAGATGTGATGTGACTTGTCTGAGGCTGTACAGTGAGGCTGTTGCTAAGACGACTAAAATTGAGACCGCTTCACTTGAAGGTCTAAGGGTCTTGGAATTGAAGCAAAGAGGAGCAAGGGGTCAGAAGCCCAGGGTAGGACCAGGGCCAAGGTGAAGACTTTTGTGTGGCTGGCATGAGAAGGACCAGAGGCAGAATGCAGGCAAGTGCTGTGACAGTTGAGTGTCGTGTCACCCAGCTGCCAAGAGGCATTGAATGCTGCTGGGGCCTATTCTTCTGCAGGGTAGGAGATGATGGGATTTGGAGGTTTCTTGCTGGAGGTGGCCATAGGGAACCTTAGGCCATGGCAAAAGTAGGTTGATACCCTCTGCTTCTTCCCAAGGCCAGTACTGTAGGTAGCAGAGCGGTGTGTTTTCTCAAGAAAGCCTCCTCCTGGGATATTTGGGAGGGATCATCTCAGTGGGTTTCTGTTCCTTTTAGAGGGAGAGCAGTGTGGGATCTGATGTCAGGTCCMAAGCAGCAGACCATGCGGTGACTCTCGTGGCCTCTCTGCAGCCTAATGGTTTTCAGCTGCTCTGTAGAGGACCTTGGGGGATAAATGTAGGGGATGCTACTGTGACACTGCAGAGAGTACCACCCGCTGTCTTTTTGCAGATATGTGGATTTGGATAAATTTTAATTTTAAAGAGGATTCTGCTGCCCAAAAGTTTGAACAATGCTGCTTTGGCTCCTGTTAATTCTGCAGTCATAGCATTAGGTAGCATAGCTGTCAATGAGATTGGCATTTTTCCAGTCATAATTCATGAAGCAGTGTATTGTTGGTGCCTATTTAGTGCTGGGCCCAGTTTACACACTGAATTCACAGGGCGGATGAGGGCCAGGTCTGTGTACTAGAGGAACTCACAACCTAGTGGCCCAGACACAAGCATTTAGCTGAGTAAGCTGGTCCCAGAAGGCTCTAGGAGAAAGCGAAGGAGACAGCAGCGCCAATGGGGTGTTAGTGTCAGGCAGAGCGCCYGTGAGGACCCACCCCACTTGGGCTCTCCTTGGGCTTAGCAGGAAGCCTCATGGCTGAGCAATGAGGAAGTGGTGTTGAGCGAGAGCGCTGCAGGCCTGGGGCTGAGCAGCAGGTGCTATGGGCACACACCTGTCTCAGGGAGCCTCACCCCAGCCTGTCTTTGGGAAGGCAGACCTGGTTGTGCTCAGAGAAACAAGTTCTTCTGGACAACCCTGGATAACTCACTTGAAGTCCCCAGAGAGATCCTTAGAGGAGACTGGCCCAGGAGGATGTCAGGGGTTAGGTTAAGAGAAACACAAATGCTAGTGTGCAGCAGTGGTTTACAGCTTTGGGTAATAGGGAGTGGGGGTGGAGGCCCTGCCCTCTTTGAGAATCAGATTAAAGCCTTGGGCTTCTCCCACAAATAGGCATATGTACTCAAAATTTGCATGTAGTTGCAGGGTGTTTATGAGATCCTAGGTTAATATCTCATAGCTTTGATGGCATTTCCATTAAAAGTCGAGCAAGAGTGAGATGTAGGAGCCCACTGGGATCACTTAATTCTGCTTCCTGAGACAGGTGCTAGAAGGCTTCCCCAGCAGGAGGTATCAGGAGGCACTGCAGAGCCCTGGAGTTAGGATCTCTGCTCTGCTGCTTCCTGTGGTGGTGCCTTAGGTCAGCTGCTTGGCTTCTGGGAGCTGCAGCTTCCTCATCTGAGGGGATGTAGTTGGGATTCTGGGAGCAACAAAGTGTCCACCATGCAGACAGAGTCAGTGCATGTTAATTCTTTTCTTCTGAGTTTGATTGGACTTAAGGGTAACAGGTTGCGGGAGGGCAGGAGGTCACAGGATAGGTGCACTTAACAGGTTGTAGCCACCGTGTATCGAGATCAAGGGGAGCTAGGCTTCTGAGAGTTCTGTCTGTGGAATAAGCAGCCAGGAACTTCCACAGTTTGTGCCGTKGCCTGAGCACTTGTGTGCCGGTGGCCTGATAGGATCCTGCAGAGTCCACCACGCCACCCACCTAGCTGGTGGTGATTCAGTCAGGGGAAGGTGGCTGATGCTTTTAGCTGTGGGTCTCGGTTTCCCCACCTGCAGCATAGCCCTGATGATCTCAAGGGTTCTTTTCAGTTCTAAAATTCCTTGTTTCAAGCTCCTTGAAAACTCAAGCTCCAGATGTGGTGGGTGGTTTTCTAGAGACCATGTTCTGGATGCACCAGGGGGACCAGTCTCATTTGGTTGACCTTTCTCCTTCTGTGTCTGTCTGTCATCTCTTATCTCCCTCTGGACTGCCAGGACAGCTCTCAGCAGTGCTGAGAAGTGAGACCCTCTGTCATCTCCCCCAAGGGATTTAGGAGCAGCTTGTCTTACACGAGGATGAAGGAGAAGGTCAGGGATTGAGTGAAAAGATGTGCGTGGTGTATGGCTGGTTGGGGAGATAGGAAGCAGCCTTGAGCAGACAGCTGGCACCACGAAGCTCCTTGTGGGGACTCAGGCAGCAACTCCCTGAGGAAGGATGGGRCTGGAGGGAGGAACGCACCAGCCTGCTGATCGTGGTGCTCTCTCCTGCAGGTGTGGGCAAGAGCAGCTTACTGTTACGATTCGCAGACAACACTTTCTCAGGTGAGTCTTCCCCTGGGTGCTGGTGGGACATTTGGATTTTGAAACCCCTTTCCCTGGCACCAGAACACACTGGCTTCTGCCTAATGTGGGGAACTTTCTCATTCTGGTTTTCAGAGGAAGGAAGAAGAGGGCTGGAGGCTTAGGTCAGAGGCCTCTGAGTTCCGCCTTAATCCATCTTGTTGAAAATCTCCTTTACCACTCATCTTTTCCCTGTCCAGCATCATCTTGTGTTCAACTTTTTTTTTTTTAAATTTAAAGTTAAAAAGATTTACAAGACAGTCATGCTTAAATTAAAATAAAATTTCCAATAGGAAGGACTTACTAATGTGAAGAATACCAGTTGTCCCTGCACTTGCCCCTCTGCTGCCCCAGGAGCCTGTGTTTATGGGGGATGTACCTTTCAGCTGCTTTCGGATTCCATTCCTTCTCAGTCTACCAAAAGTGCTTCCACGTTGCTATGTGTGGACCTCCCTGGTTCCTTTTAGTGCTCTCAAGTTCCCTGCACTGTGCGTGGATGTACCACAGTTCATTACCAGTGCTCTTGTTATGTGTGTGGTTTCTGGTTTGCTTCTGTTTTAATTGATGCTACACTACTTGGGATACAGTGTATATGTTCTTGTACATGCAGTTTCCATAGAAGTGGGGTTACTGGGTCACAAGATATATACATTTACAATTTTCGTAGATAATGCCAACTTGCCTTTCAAAGAAGCTGAGATAATTTATAGTCCCACTGAAGGGTTTGAAAGTATCCCTTGTCAACTTGATCAGGGCTTCATTTTTGTTAAACTGATAGACAGAAAGTGATGTAAAGTTTGAATTAGTATTTCCCTGATCACTGGTAAGGTTGAGCATGTTTTTGTTTGTTAAATACATCATGATACAGGGGCTTCAGGTTGGGTTGGCCTGCCTGAGTAAGAACTGAAGTGTGATTATCTTACAGGGAATTGCTCTGCTGTGTTTGAGGGCAAGCTACACTTAGGAAGTTATTACATGGCTAATGCCTCTCTCTTGGTGGAGAAGTGGAATTTTGCCCCTTTCCTCTCCCTGAAATGGCTCTGCAGCTCCGCTGGTGTTGGGGAATTGGAAAAAACTGGCTTCTCTCTGTTACCCTGATGTAGCAACTAAGCCTCAGTTCATCTGTGAAGTAGAAATTGTGGTTGTCCCTTTGATATAGATTGTTGTGGGATCTCCTGAGAGAGTGCACATCACAGTACTTGGAACAAAGTAATCACTGAGTACGCACCAGCTATTTGTGGTTGTCATTATCTTCTGTTCAAGGATGATAATTACTGATCAACCTCTAGCTGTGCTGGAAAACATTCCTCTTCCTCCATGAAGTCCCTATAACTCCCCATCAAATCTACTTTCCGCTCTTGGGTGACTCTTTTGCAGTCTCTCTTCTTTCTGAATGTGCTACCAGTAGCTTGGCTTTAAAGCGTTGGCTTTAGCTGGAGGCATCATGACAGCACTTGCCTTTGTCTCACGCTGCTGAATTCRCTCTGCTACTCTCTGAATCCACTCATCTCTGGCAGGTTCTTTTCTCTGTTTAGTAGCCGTGGTGGCCCTCTCTCACCTGAACAGAGTTTATAGCAAGTTTCTCCACTTGGGGACTCTTCATACTTTGCATCTTGTAACTCTGTGTTGAGGGGCTGTCCTGTGTGTTGAAGGATTTTAAGCAGCATCCCTGGGCTAGATCTACCCAGCAAGTGGCCAGTTGCGTTGTAATAACCAACAGTGTCTCCAGACTTAAAAGTCATTCCTGGTTGAGAACCACTGGTCTTTATAATCTGTTTCCAGCTTTCTTTCTCTTATTGCTCATACTGCTTATTCTTTCTTTGGTTTTTAATTTTTTTTTTCCCACTCATTCAACTACAAGGTGTTTTTTGAGTGCCTAACTATGTGAGGACTCCACATACCTTGGCGTTGTCCAAGACCAGAGGAGCACCAGGTGCATTCTGTTTGAGCTTTGACCTTTATCTTGCTTCACACGGTCATCTGTGTGTCTCATTTCCTACATCATGTTACATGGGGTGCTCCAAAGGGAGGGAGAACTTGTGTTCTTCTTTGTGGTCACTTTTGTGAGCCTGGACTGGACCGACTCACTGGCCATTCTACTCAAATCCATCTTTCACACAGATGCCCCAAGAAAGCTGCTTGACATGCAGCTCATGCCCCTGGTTAAAACCCTCACTGCCTCCCCATCGCACAAAGAGAGTCCAGATCTTCGAAAATGGCACAAAGGCCCAGAGACCTGGCCTTGGCCCTCCACCTGCTTCCCACCACAGGCATGGCCTCACCTGCACCATTGCTGTTTTGCTACTGTCTCTCCTGCCCGGAGCAGTGCTTTTCAGACTGTGGGTTGGGTCCTGTTTGTGTTTAGGATATTAATTTTGTGGATCCTTAAATTCTTTTTAAAAATAGAATAGAAAAGAAAAACCCAGAGTGCATCACAGGTCTGGCCCTTTCTCAGGTTAGATCTGAATGTCCCCACCCCTGGCCAAACGAACAGAGTCTGTCCCTCTTCCCTCAGTACCATCCTAGATTTTATTTCCTTTGTAGCATTTATCACTGTGAATTGTCCTTCTCAGTTTCTTTCACTGTATCCTGTCTCACTTCCATTGTGGGGTCCCTCAGGGCAGGCCATATCTTACTTGGGTCTCTGGGGTCTGGACTTGGTGGGACACTCTGTGGGTGGGACAGTGTGAGACAGGGTCTCTGCTGGGCCTGGCTGATGTCGGTGTGTGTGCAGGCAGCTACATCACCACCATCGGAGTGGATTTCAAGATTCGGACAGTGGAGATCAACGGGGAGAAAGTGAAGCTGCAGATCTGGGACACGGCGGGGCAGGAGCGCTTCCGCACCATCACTTCCACGTGAGTCCCCGTCCCACTCCCACCTGCAGCCCCTGCCTCAGACACTGTGGATTTTTGCACAAAGTTGAGTAGAGTGCTGGTCGTAGAAATCACTGGGTGGCTCCCAAGGCTGTAGGGAACCGAGCTCTTTGATGACCTCAGTGGGTGGGGCTTGGCTGTGCCCTTCCCCTTCCTGAAGATGTCAGAGGACGTGGGGAAGTGCTGTGGCTGCTGTGGGGTAGGCGGGCAGGCAGTGGCTGAGCACCCTGGCTCTGGTGTCCGGCAGGACAGTGACTGTGTACCCTCCCCTTGGACACTCAGCTTTACCCTCAGAGTGGCAATAGCCGTGGTGTTTGCCTTACCAGGTGTTTGTGACGTGCCGGGTCCAAGTGAACACTGAGTCAGTGGCAGTTCCTCTTGGCAGGTGTCCATTCTGTGTGGGCTCCCCTCACTCAGGCCGACTCCTCGGAGGTGGCTCTCTTGGGAGGCCTGGAAGAACGTGGGTATGTGGGAGCCCCTTTCTCCCCGCAGAGCTTCGGCTGGAAAGTCGGTCTCTAGTGTGTCGCCCTCCCTCATTTGTCACCGCGGTGCCTTTGTGGTTCTCAGCTACAGACAGGAGAGAGCCAAGGCCTGATTCCAGGTCCTGTGCAGGGGCTCTTGGTTCTTAGGCTGTCGATGGGTCAGATCCCAGGAACGCAGGGCTTGAAGGCGAACAGTTTGAAATTTAAATTTCTGTTCTGCTGTGTGTCCTTGGGCAAGTTGCCTAAACTCTCTGGGTTTCAGTTTCCCATAGGGTTTATTTTTAGGATTTGTTTGAATGTTGGGACCTGTGTCCAGATCCCCTGCTTTGAGCTTTTTGTGGGTCACCTCCATTAATTCTCCCATAATTCTCTATGCTTGGTGCTACTGCTATCCTCATTTTACAGAAGTGGTCTGCTTCCAGTGATGGCAGAGCCCTGGTTCTACAGTGGGGAGGCTGCCTTCACCCCAGGGCAGTTCCCCTGAGAAGGCGTGGAAGGCTATGAGAAAGTTCCCTGGCCAGAGACCCCTGTCTTCCCTTCAGCATGGAAGCAGGGTGGAGCCAGGCCGGTGCCATCCCAGGCTCTTCAGGAGCCTCTGAGGGTGGGGAAGTGAAGGTGAAGCACCCGCGCAGTGGCAGCTGGGAGTGTGGGCAGAGCAGGGCTACTGGCTGGGCAGGAGGGGCAGTCACTTTGCCCTGTGCTGAGCACATGAATGTCATAGCCCTGAATGACTGAAGCCTTGCGGGTTCCCAAACCTGGGTCTGCCTGGGCACAGTCCTGCAGGACGCAGTGATTGAGCTGCCTGAGTGGGGGCTGTCAGCCGGTGTCCCTACAGTGTAGTGAGGACTTGGGGAGGGCTAGGTGTCAGGATTGATGTTGAAAACTTTGGGTCGCCTGGAGCCTATAGGCCCATGTACGAGCACCACTTGGGGCATCAGGGTTACCAGGTCTGGCCACTTAACCTCACTTGTCCTTACTCTGGGCCAGGAATGTCGCTAGGTCATCACCAACTTTATTTCACTTAATGCCAATGAAGAAGTTTGTGATTATCTTATTATTGTTATTATTATTATTTTGGTGGTGCTRRGGATTGAACCTAGGGCTTTGTGCATGCCAGGCACGCGCTCTACCAATGAGCCATATCCCCAGCCCCCTGGGATTATCTCCATTTTATGCACAAGAAAACATGCCCAGAGAGGGCAAAGTGACATAGCTCAGTTTCTTAGGATCAGAACTGAGGCCCATCTGATGCCAAAGCTCAGGCCTCTACCTAGTTCATGGTCTTATGGCCCCCCAGACTGGGCACAGCTCCTCCTTCAGTGTCTCCCTTCTGGGGTTTAAAACCAGTTGGGGGCTTCAGGGCAGCAGAGATAATAGACCTGTGACCTTGGGAGATGCTGGGGGCTGGGAGCTGGGCCCTGGGGCRTCTGAACCCTTCCTGCAGYAGAGGCTCCTGCTGCTGCTCCCCTGCCACACAGTCACTTTTTTTTGGCACTGGGTGGGGTGGGAAGAGGGACTGGCTCCTCCATTCTCTTGGGGAGATTTTGGAGGGGTCGCCCAGCTCCTGGGGCAGTGTGTGTTTTTTCCAAGGTGCTTGGGAAAGTGGGTGACTGCAGGTACTGGCAGCCTTTGGGTGCTGGCTAGTCCCTGGTGTCTGGGGATGATAAAGGTTGTCCTCATTCAGGGTTCCTTAGCCCCTGAGGTGGGAGGCATGCAGGGCCCACCCAGGAGCCACAGAGACTTGTGCCTTATGATGGCGGTTGACAAAGAAGGAAGGAGTAGGGAGGGACAGTCAGGGTACAGAATCATGACCTTTTTTGACCTGGGGCATTGAAAGAGAAACCAAAATTGCATCCTGTGACGGATGCTGAGGTTTGCTGCCCCTGAGAGGTGTGGCTGGGGGAGGGGTGGGATGGAGGGAGGAAGTGAAGAGGAAGAGGAGCCCTGGTGCTGGCCCAAGAGTCAGACCTGGGGACCAGGATATCAGGCTGGACATTCCACTCAGCCTTGGAGTCCTCACTGGTGAGATGGCTGTCCTGACACCTGTTGGGCCATGTTGTTTGCAAAGATGAACAAGGTGGTGGATGCAGAGTGCTCAGCCCTTGCCTGGCCTGGGCCAAATGTCTGCTGCTGGGACATGATTCCTGCTGGGCAGCGATTCCCACCGTGTGGGAGCCCAGAAGCACCAGAGCCCTGAGCCCCAGCTCCTGCGAAGACCAGAGCTCCACTCAGATTGAGCCTCTTCCCTGGGCCCCAGGGCCGTTGAGGTTCCCAGGAAGCAGCAGGGGTTTGTGCTGGGGCCATGGCTGGAGGCATTTCTTGGCATCTTAGCCGTCTCGGGCAAAGGAGGTTTGCAGAGGCTGCTAGCGCTTCCTCTGCTGGCAGGGGACAGTGGCCTGTCTTCATGGTTCCCGGCAGGCACTCCCGCACCCGCCCTGGAGGCGTCCACCAAGCTGGTTGGTGTGCTRAGCTGGCACCGGGCTGCTGTAGGGCCAGGGCTGGTTCTTGGGCCCAGAGCTGAGACAATGGGATTGTCAGGCTTCCTCAAAGCCAAGGAGCACTGCACCCTGGACAGAATGAGGCRTCCTGGGACATCTCCTGGGATGTCTGGGGGGTGGAGACAGACAGGACCCCAAGCATGGTGGAGGCTCCTCTTCCAGCAAGCTGTCTCTTGGTTTCCTGCCACCTCTATCTGGGGCCCCAGATTGCCATGGAGATATAAAGAGCACCCCAGTGTTCACTCTGTCTTACTCCCCAGCCCTGTGGTGGTGTGTTAAGTGCCTATATCCYCATTTCATAGTTGTGGAAACTGAGGCTGTGGCCGGTGGAGCTAGGGTTACTCTTTGTCCTCAGACTGGCCATGAATGTGAAGGCTTCTCAGAGAGCTGGTGGGCAGGCAGGTGACAAGCTGTACCCACCACCTGTCTGCTGCACCCTTTCTCAGCCTGTGCATCCTGTGCCACCTCAGAACCAGGGCTTGGGAAGGAGTTGCTTTCCAGGTGTGCTGCAGGAGCATGAAGGTGCYCAGGGCCAGGCAGGCAGCTGCTAGAAGGTCGGGAGGAAGCAGCCTGTCCCCTCAGGGTTTGCCTCCTGGGTGTCGTAAGAAGCCCCCAGTGACAGAAAAATCTCTGCAGCTTTGGGGAGGAGAGCTGCAGAGGGACACTGTTGGGGGTTACATAGTGCTGGGACAGGGTGCTTCCTGTCCTCTAAGGCCAGGGTTTCAGGGAAGTGTGAAGCTCCATCCTCTTGTTCCACGGTCTTCCATCGTCCCCTTGACTGTTGGTGTGAATGGGGCTGCTTGGTCTGAAGGTTCCTACCAGGTGTCTGGAGAGGAACGTTGATACCCTTCTTCCTTCCAGACCTGACCAGCTTGGGTCTGCATGTTGGGTGGTGGTGTAGCTGGCCTCCCTTCTAGGCACCCTGGTGCCCATGCAGCTCCCACACTGTCCCTGCCATTAGAATGGGTAAGCCAAGAGTGGCAGGAAGGGAAGTGCCACCTGCCCCTGAGGGAGGGGACACAGATATGCCAGGGCTCATGAATAGTGCAGCTTCTTGGATTGGCATCTTACTAAATCAGATTTGAGGAAGAAAAATTTTTTGAATGTTTAAACGGGGATAGTGATAACATGATGTCAAACACAAAAACTGTCTGAATTCTAAAAATAAAAGGAGAACTTTGTAGAAGTTTCCGGCTGGTGGCAGACTGAGTCATCTGGGGTGACTCTTTTGACCTGGTCTGCCACCTCAGGGCCAGCCACCCCTCCTCTGCTAGTATCCTGGAGACAGGTGTGAGGAGCCTGTGCTGCTGATGCAGGCCTGGCGTGGGCATGGTGGCCAAGGCCAGGTGCACAGCCCAGCTGCCGAGTGCCGGAATGACTGCTCTCCCCYGCCACTGTCCTGCTGTGGGCAGGCAGGTCATCGGGTCATAGGGATGGGCTGAAGCCCTGACATACACCTTGGCCTTACAGGTATTATCGAGGGACTCATGGGGTCATTGTTGTTTACGACGTCACCAGTGCTGAGTCCTTTGTCAATGTCAAGCGGTGGCTTCACGAAATTAACCAGAACTGTGATGATGTGTGCCGAATATTAGGTGAGGCTGGGGACTGTGGGGTGGAGGGTGGCGGGAGGTGGCCTTACAGGGACGGCTGACTCTGCCTTGCCTTGAAGTGGGCAATAAGAACGATGACCCCGAGCGGAAGGTGGTGGAGACGGAAGACGCCTACAAGTTTGCCGGGCAGATGGGGATCCAGTTGTTTGAGACCAGTGCTAAGGAGAATGTCAACGTGGAGGAGGTGAGTCCCTGGGGAGTAGGAGAGGTGGCCCTGCTCGACCCCCACATCCCTCTCCTCCCCCAGCTTGCTCACGGCCTCTGAGTGAGCAGTGGAAACATTATAGTGACTAACGTCTATCGGGTGCTTGCTGGGTGCAGGCCCTCAGAAGGTCTTAGCTGGTGTCTCCGCAGTCCTCTGAGACAGGTACCACATCTGCATTTCTAATGGGGGAAACCGAGGTTCCAGAACATCACTCAGCTAATAAGAGGCTCAAACTTAGATCTGCCCACCCCTGGCCCTTCCCTCACCCCTCCACTGTCAAATCATTCTGCTCTGGCTTTCCTGGGGACCCAGTTCCTTTCCTGTGGCTTCCAGAGCAAGCGGGGCTGGCTGGCCACACCATRGTGGGGAACACAGACTCCTCAGAGTCAGGCCAAGACCCCAATCCTAGAGCCACCYTCTGTGGACTTCATTTGTTCATCTGTAGCTTGAGGGGAACGTGAGCCCTGCCTTGCAAAGATTGAGTGAGTCGAGTCATGTCTTGTGCTTAGCACGAAGTACATGCTTGGCAGACGCTGGCTGGGCTTTTTTGTACCTTCTGCTCCCACCACTGAGGTTGCTGTTACCCACCTTTCTGGGTGGAGTGGAGAGGACTGTGCATTGGTACATGGAGCYTCACTGGACCCTGGAATGGTGTTGGGAGGTCCGGGAAAGTTTCCGGGCAGGACCTCTGGGCCCCACGTACACTGAGGTGGCATGGGGCGGGCAGACTGGGGTCCCCTCCTGTCTGCTTACAGGCCAGGGCAGCTCTGTGCTGTCAGAAGATTCCAGCTCCAGAAGAAAGGGGTTCTCCCGTCAGTGGAAAACCCCCGAGAGTGACTTCCCCTTGTTCACACAGTTTGTGGGTCTTTAGTGTCCCCTGTTGACCTTTCAGTAGTCCACCTCCTCCTCCTAGAAAGGGTTTGGAGGACACTCCTGCCAAGCCCTTCCCGAGCAGAAACAAAGCTGGGCCTGGGGGGCAGCGGTGCCCGGGCCTCCCGCTGGGTCTGGGCTAGTCCTACCGTGTCGCCTTGCAGATGTTCAACTGCATCACAGAGCTCGTTCTCCGAGCAAAGAAAGACAACCTGGCGAAACAGCAGCAGCAGCAACAAAATGATGTCGTGAAGCTCACGAAGAACAGTAAACGAAAGAAACGCTGCTGCTAATGCCCCTCAGGCCACGCAGAGACTGCACTGCGGTCCCTCCCCAAGCCCGAGGCCTGCAGGGGTCCTCGGGGGACAGTCTCAGTTTCGTGCCGTTATTTAAAGAATTCTCTCCACGTTTTTTATTGGGAGGCGCCATGGGCACTTCCTCCCCTTCCCTCTCGAGTGCCAAGAAGGTGTTGGACGAGCCCGCCCTTCCCACTGGTGCCCTCCTCCCTGCTGAGGCGCCTGGACCTGGTGAGGACGCTGCCAGCCAAGCGGACTGATTAACCAATTTGTACATAGTGTATATTGCTTTAACCAGCTGCACACCCTTGTTCTGCTCTGGCCTTGYCCTCCTTAATGCCACCTGTTGCAACAGACCCTCCCCAGCCCTCCCAGCCCTCCCCACCGCCAGCAGCTTCCTGCGGAGGCAGCGTCTCCTTCAAGCTGCGTCTGTGGCCGACCTGGGCTGGAGTGGGCTCTGTGTTGCTCACTCTCCTGCAGGTTGGTGGCTTCTGTCCCTGCCATGCAGGCTCTGACCCCTCTCCAGGGTCTGTGCCAGCTGTTCTCCTGACCCCACAATTGCTCTGGGAGCTGGGGAAACCTGGCCTTGAGGCAGCCCTGCCCTCTGCTGGCTCCATGCCTTTGGTTCCACAGAGGCAGGTAGTCTTGGCCTCTGGCTGACAGGTTTCTTTTCCTGCCTTCTAGATGCCTCTGGTACAAACCCAGAGGTGCTGTGTCTTCTTAGAACCCACAYGTTTCTGTTCTAACAGAAAGGTAGGGGTGTGTTTGTGCAAAGATGGGGCTTTCAGGGGGCTATAGGAGCATTATTTTAACAGATAAAGAATATGAAGCCAAATCAAATGAATCAAGTTCCTCACAATTATTTTCTTTCCCTGAAGTTTGATTGGCACAGCAGCCCAAGTTGTGGCTGTCCCACTTTGGGTCCAGTGTTCTTATAAAAAGCAAATGGCTTTCTGTCCTTGTGGGGCTGGACTCCTAGCCCTTTCTTGGGAAGAGCCAGAAGTCTATGATACAGCACCAGGCACTTCTGGATGTAGGGGGTGGGCACTGGGGGCTGCTGAGTAATGGGAAGGACACCTCTGAACTGGGCCAGGAGAACTTGGATCACTGACGTAACTGTTGTAGTATGAAGGCGGTAGGATTGCTTAGCAGACGGCAAGGATGGTAGCGGGGCTGGCTGGGGCAGCCAGTTTTGATCTAYCCCAGTCCCCTGGTGAAAAGCCAGGGTGTCTGCATTTGATTATTGTTCTCCCCTTCTGTGGGACACATCATTCCCCCTTCCCCTAAAAGGATCACGTAACCTGGGAAGAATTGATTTCAGCATCATGAAGTGTTTTATTAGATTTCCTTTCCTAGGCAATTTCCAGGTAAAGCCCTGATTGGACAATCACATCACAGATCACACTGCAGATTTTCCGTGTTAACACTGTGGATGGGTTTTTAATCAATAAAAAATGGGGGTTTCTTCTCACCTGTCTCTCCACTTGTCCAAACCGCCAAAAGCYGGGGTTCCATGGCAGGCCTTTGCTTTGGAGCTGTAGGCTGGGGTCATGGGGCCATGGGTGGTGGAGGCAGGGGCCGTGGAGGGTGCTGCAGGCAGCCCCATCTGGCTGGGGTAGCTGGGAACAGAAGTGGGGTCTCTGCCCTCAGGACTGTCCTGGCCGACCAGGAGCCTGTGGCCCAGGGGTCATACTTGCCTCTGAGCACTCAGGTGAGGCCGTGTGGAGTGCTTGCAAACTCAAGCAATAAGGGTGATCCTGCAAGCTTCCAGCCCAGGACAGAAGCTGCAGTGGCTTCTGGCACCTGGACGCCCAGATGCAGGTGGTGGGTTAATTTTGGTGACTACAGTGTCTGTCCCATTGAGTGTCACACGCATGAAGGGGGGGGGGGTTGTTGGGTGGGGGTGGGGGACTCAGGGCTAGACCGTCGTCCTGGTGGACCTGATGTGAAATTCCTGTCAAACAACAACTTTTAAATGGTTTGCTAGGATTATTTCTGTATTGAAAGTTTCTAATTATGCTTTTTAAAAAAAATCACTAAAAATAAAGGTTCAAGCTGCCAAATTTTCTTTCAGGGTCTTTTTGCTCTGCTCTGAGTGGGCCTGGCTTCTTCCCACCTATTATGTCCAGCTCTTGTACTTAGCCTGAGTCTTGTACAGGTGTCAAGGCCCTGGGACACCAAGAAGCCAAGTCCATTTTCTCCATGAGCAATTGGTCCAGGGTCGAGCATCAGTCTGGACGGAAAGCACTGGCTGGGAGCACGCGTGGGCAGGTGCCAGGGGAGGCTCCGTGTTTATTCTCCACAGGCCAGAAGGACGAAGTGGAAGCTTTTACCTGGAATGATTTCTCTGGATGTTTTCTGCCAAGCCCCAGGGCCCTGTTCTCAGCCTGGGAGCAGTGCTGGCAGGGCTGYCTGGAGTCTGCACACTGGAGTTCTGGCAGGGAGCCCACACCTGATGGAAGAGGCGCAGGCCAGGCCAGGATGCCGCCACCTTCCAGAAAAGGAGCCCTTTCCAGGCTCAATCCATTGATGGTATCAGAGGGCAGGAGGTGGCCTCCCAGGTGTGGGCCCAGCCACTGCTACTCTTCATCAGCAGCAGCCAGTGGTGGTTCTGACSAGCAGGCCTCATTTGGACCAAATGACCCCTCCACATACCCAGTGACTGAGGCAGGAAGCTCTGTAGAAATTTGTTTTATTCTTATTCAGACTATTTTCAAAAGAAGCAGTGGTGCGGTTTTTCTAAAAATATGCCTTTATAGATTTATATATATGTATATTATAAAATCCATACATGTATTTACACGTTTGCTACATACAAAATTACAGCACTGTGGTATGTACATATCTATAGGTACATTCTTTCTGCTCATCCCTGCTGTGCTTTTCCCCTGGAGCGAGGGAGACTGAATCAGTGGTAAGCAGCTGAGGGCAGGCTGGGCCTGAAGAGCCTCGAGTTAGGGCCTCAACAGAGACAGTAGGGTGGCTGCTGTGGAAGGAGCAGAAGCAGCAGGGTTAGGCCCTGGCCCTCTGCAGGCCCGGTGGACAGTATGTGGAGGCTCCCAGTAGCCTCTCTTACACCCATGGTGTCAGTGCTGCCTTGGAGGAGGGGGTGGCTGGCCATACCCCTGTGAGGACATTCTGTGGCCAGGACTTGCTCAACTGGGCCAAGAAATTATATTTGAGGGGCAGGGGGCTGTGGAAACAAGATGAGCCCTCTCAGCCCTGGGCCTTCCACGAAGAGAGGACTGGACCACTAATTGATGCCTGTCGCCAACCAGTGAGAACGCCATCTGGCCCAGGCCTCGCTAAGGGTAAAGGACTACTCTGGAGAAGGCTGGGGAGGAGAGTTGGGGGTGGCCAGGGGGCAGGGCCCTCCTTCCTCCCTGGGGCTTAGGATGGCCTCAGCTGAGCTTGGGTACACCCCAGCTCTTAGGCTCCTTGGCCGAAGGCTGGGCCTCCTGCCTGCAGAGGGGCCCCAGCAGAGGTGCATGCACATGGGTAAGGGGCCGCACCTCCCCTTACTCTGGGCCAGTGGCTGGGGCAGGAATGGAGGCGTAGGCTGGGCCTGCTGCTCTGCAGAACTAGGCAGGCCCCCGAGGCTCACGCCTTCCAAGGCATGCAGATGAGGGCCTCCGTTTCTTCTGTTGCCCATTATCTAAAATTGCGGAGGCAGCAGTGCCTGCCAGGTGGGCTGAGAACAAGTGGGTCTGAGCAGCAGAGCCCAACCCACAGGCTGCTCTGGAAGGTGGCCTGACCCCTGCTCGATAATGGGATCCTGGGAGCCCAGGCTTGGGCTTGGCTAGAGCAGCTTTCAGAGGCCAAGAGGCCCCTGCCTCTTGGTCTATCCACACTGACAAAAGGGAGTGGGTTCTCTGGGACCTATTGGGCCCCAGTGTGGGCGGGCAGTGCAGCTCCCCTAGGCCACAGGGGAGGCCCTTGCTCACACTGCCTTCTAGCTGCTTCCAGTCTGCCTGTCCTCCGTGGCCGACTCCTCCCAACTTAAATTTTCCTGAAGAATGAGAAGAGCCGTTTGCCTTCAGTGGTGCCGGGCTCATCGCCCCGCCCTGCACCGTGGCCCCTGGAGACGGCAGCAGCAGGCTGGCTCCGTTCCTTCAGGTGCGTGTCCATCAGTTGCCGGTCAATGACCCTGTGCATGTCATCCTGCAGAGGGGGAAAGTGGACAGGGCTGAAGGTCAACGCACGCCTGGCCCTGGGGGTGTGCAGGGAGGAGGCCAATGTTGGGATGAGAGATGAGGATGAGGATGAGGGTGAGGGTGAGATGAGTGAGCAGCAGCAGCCGGGGCTGCTGACCAAGAAAGCAGTGAGTGGGCATGATGCCAGGATACACGTAGGAGCCACCTGGCGATGTCTCCTCAGGGCTTGAGCTGACTTCTCACCAGTGTCCCCATGCCACTCCCTTGGCTGATCACTCAGATGCTGTCACAAAAGGCCCAGAGAACCATGTAGCCCTCACAGCACACGCAGCCTCCCCGGTGACCAGCACCTGTCTTGCCTCCTGATATGTGGTCTGGTTTGTTGGCCCCACGCTCAGAAGGCCCAGGGGAACCTGAGTGTGCCACTCTCCAGCCCAAAGCCTGGCCTCAGGGGGTTTCTGCCATCCCTCCTGCTTTCAAATTATTTGCAGCCTGGGCTGCTGATGCCCACACACTCCTGGCAGTCCTCACCCCACCACTGTGCCATGATATGCCATGATGCAGTGCCATGATGCTCGTGGCCTTCAGGGCTGTCTGTGCCCACTCTGGTCCAGTTCCATTAGCTTCTTTCCCAGGGTCTGACCTTATCCCTTCTAACTTTTTGGCTGCCCMAAAACTACCCCTGCCCTGTCCTACACAGCAGCACCTTTTATTCCACAGAGGCTTCTGGACAGAGTAGTTCCGCTCTTTCCATTCTAGTTGATCTGATTCTGTGTAAGATCCCACCTGACAAAAGGGCTCTGTCATAACACAGTCCGACAACTGCTGGTAAGACACATCCGTGGTCCCCTGCAGTCATCATCGGCAGGAAATTGAACAAGCATCTTGGTTCCTTCAGCCTGGAACCCGGCAGTGGCTCTGGATGTGCTGTTGAAAAGGCCCTGAGCCCTTCGAGTCAGCCATTGGCTTCTAAGCATGGGCAGGTGAGGCCGGGGTTCCGGTGGGGCCCCTCCAGGGGGGCAGATGACCTCTGCAGCTCTCAACAGCCACCACAAGATAAGGGCAGGAAGTTGGGATGTCTGAGCCTCTGCCTGACCAGCCTGTCCCTTACCTGTCTCACCCAAGCTTCCACCTGGAGGTGTCACCCAAATATCTTCAGGTTTCAGGGTGAAATGAAGAGACCTTCCTGTCTTGTCACCAGGTGGTGGTGAGTACTGACCTAATGTGCTGCACCCTGACCTCCTACCCACATCCCCAATCCTTCCTGGCACCTCTCCTGCTCACCTCCTGCTCTTGCCTCCTAGTCCACACCTTTCTACTCATCCCTCAAATCGGACGCTGGGCCAGGTATTTGCCAACATGTGGTTCCTACCTCCGAGGCCGGGTGAGAACACCGCACCCTGCATGTAGGACGTGTTCAGTAAGATTTCTTTTTGGTCCCAGCGATGGAACCCAGGGTGCATAACAACTGAACCACATCCCTGGCCTTCAGCTTGCCATCCTCCTGCCTTAGCCACCCAGGTCACTGGGATTACAGGCGTGTGCCACTGCACCTGGCAAAATCTATGCTTTTAAATACAACAGAGGAATGTTAAAGGGTCCTTCAAAAAGGATCCATTCAAAGCTACCAAAGTTTTTTTCTGGCACATTCATTACGAACTGCACTTTTATACTCTAAGCAACCAAAATCGGCTCACTAATGCCACGAAATGGATCTTGGAACTTCACAGACACTCACGTGCTGCTCATAACTCCACACCTGCTGCCGTTTCTGGGGGTAAAACAGTCCTCTACAACGTGGTAACACTGAGAAACCAGGCCAGCCTGTCACTGTTGGCCACATGCTGAGGAGCTTGCTGAACATGATGGTGATGGGAGGAGGGAGTCTGGGGCTCGATGACACGTCACACTGCACAGAGATGATGCCAGGCTCCAGCACACAGAACACAGTRGGCCACAAGGGGAGGTGGCAGGGGCAGGACAGCAATGGCAGTGGGGAAAGGGCAGGTGGGATACAGGGCTCAATCTCACCTCAAAGGCAGGAGGGGTGTACAACTAAAGCTGTTGATACGGGAACTGAGAAAGGCCACTAGATCAGAAACCAAAGGAGCCAGATAGTAAAAAGCCCTGAGGAAGCAAACTGTAGCCAGGAGAGAAGAGAGAGAACAGTGGCGGTAAGCTGGGGCCTGGCCAGCTGACAGCTGGACAGGAGCCAAGGGGCCAGTGACCAGCACTCTGTGGAGCCAGGGTTAATGCGGCTAGCCCCACAGGGCCCTGAGAGGAAGGATCACTGCTAACCTGCCCTCCAGAGGGGCTCACTCAGGTAGCTTTGCATCCATCTAGTGGGGATTGAGGAGAAACATCAGTGGCTATGCCACTGTCATGCTAGCCAGGTCATCAGTGCAAAGCCAGTCACAGCCTGGCCTCAGGGAGCTGCACTGGACCCTGAGAATGGTGGTCCCAGAGATGAACAGGGCAATTCATTCTTCCCAGTGCAGCTGATGCTCTTTGGGAAAGGGGCGCCGCAGGCCTTTGAGGAGGACCGCATCCAGCTGTGAATTTTCACCTGGTCACAAGGGGCTTCCCAGCACCTCCGTGTTAACAACTGTTTCTTTCTSTAGTTTAAACTACGCCCAAAAGGCCAGCTGAAATAGGGCCTCCTTCCAGGTGTGGGGGGCACTACAGCAGCAGCCTGGGGTTTGCCACTCCCAAAAGCACCCTCAGGAATTATCCCCAGGAAATGGGAGCACAAGAACTCTGGGTTTCTTCAGGTAAAGATGGGGGTTCGCCCAGTTGTGTGGGACCCTTACATAGCAAACTGTCCTTACACTATGCTCCATTCAAAGACCCTCCTGAAGTCTTTTGCCCTGGGGCTCAGGTTTTTGTTCTTTTTTACCTGCCAGGCCTCAAGCTGCTGGGAGAGGTTCAGTTTCTGCTGAATGGCGTCCAGCAGCTGGCTGTTCAGAGACATCATGTCCATCCTGCACTTGGCAAGTTCCAGCTCCACGGCATTCTTCCTGAAAACAGACAACAAGAGTGAGCCCACCAACACCCTGTGCCAGCCGTCCTGGGGATCTGAAGCCCACAGGGAAAGGAAGCCCCCTAGCTGTGGGTGGTCTGCAATGTGCCTTCACACATATTCTGTTATAACCAAGCTGCAGGGGAAAGGATGATTTGTCAACTCCATCTCACAGGTGAGAAACAAGGTTGAGCGCAGTTGAGAGGATGACATTTAGATGAGGACAGAGCCCAGAGGGAAACCAAGGCCTCACATGGCACCAAGGAGCCACTCATCTGCCCCTCGAGGCCAGGGCCTCCTGGGGGGTGAGGCTCTTGACCTCCTGGCATGGAGAAGGTGTCCCTTTAACTAAGTACTCTTCCCTTAAGGGAACTGTCCCAAAGTTATGGATGTGTGCAAAGGTAGCTACACAAGGACACCCATCATAGCTTGGTATCTGACGACTGGGAACTGGTAAAAAGGAAGATGGAATACAGTCGCCAGTAATAGTCACTATGAAACAGGGTATTTACGGACAATCACGATGTTGCTCTGTGGAAAAAAGATCCAGAAAACAAGTTCTAGATTTGTGAACTAAAAATCCCCAGCCGGTCGGAGGACAGACTCATAACCCTTGCTGGTTATCCGGGTATCGATCACTGATGGTGACTCCCCAGTCTTTTACATTTTCACATATCCCATATTTCGCGTGTTACTTCGTTTTCCTCCCTCAATATTCCTAAATGACAGCTGTTAAATGCTGGAGGAAATTAATCCTGGGGTGGGCGGGGATGGGAATAAAAGCGGAAGGGAGCCAACGGCAGCCTCTGTAGAGGAGGCACCGATTGCCCAGCCATGGAAACGCGCTTTCATTCAGCTCTTGCCACGTCTCCCACTCCCTCAAGTACTCAAATGGCAAAGCTCAGGGTCCTTGCTGTACACGGCGCAGGGCCCAAGGACAGTGAGAGGATCCGCCTGCAGAGACGGCGGGCTCCCCTGCTCCGGCCTGGAGACACTGTCCGCACTAGTGGCAGCCGGCAGGAGGGGCAGGTGGGTCCCGTTTAAGCGCTCAAGTCACCGCTGTGACCAGCACTTCCTCTTTGGCCTTCAGTCACCACCCGCCTTCCCTAGAGATGCGGCTTCTGGCGACAGTCCCCGCCAGCCCCGCCCACTGCGGCTGCCGACAGCCAGGATAGGACCTGAGCCTGCCCAATGGGCGTGGGACTCGAGGCAGTTCGTCACGCCCCTGCCATTGGCTGGCGGTGAACAGTGGAAATCCTCGAGTGGAGCCGGTTGCCATGGACGCTGGCCGTGCCGCAGTCCCAGCCAGAACGTCAGCACGAATCCTGGGCTGGGCTGGGCTGGGGAGTGGAGGCCTGAGCTTCCGCCGGCAGGTGGCACCGTGTGCAGCCGAGCCCCCAGGAATGTGCTGACTAATGCCGCTGCAGGGCCCGATGGCCGGTGGTGCGCCCCTAGCGGGGTCTTCTGGCCTCCGTAGCCCAGGTTGGCTCGCTACAGAATCGGGGTTTGTCATCCATAAGAAGCCCCAGACCGGGAGAGCACAGCTACAGAAGTCGCCCACTGATCAACATAGTAATCATTTTTTACAGAGGAATGTTTCCAGGTACGAGAAGGGTTCCTTTGTTTATGGAACCACTAGCCGCGCGGGTGGTGCTCGCCTGTAACCCCGCGGCTGGAAGGCTGAGGCAAGAGGATCACAGGTTTGAAGCCAGCCTCAGCAATTTAGCGAGACTGTAAGCAAACTAGTGAGACCCTGTCTCAAAATGAAAAATAAAAAGGGCTGGGGGTGTGGCTCAGTGGTTATGTGCCCCTGGGTTCAATCCCTGGTACCAAACTATAAAACCCACTAGTACCTCTTTTGTTTTTGTAAGGCAGATTCCTAGCCCAAGAATTACTTCTGTTTTTAGGGAGGGCCTTTCACCTCAAATTATTTAACTTTCTTGAAACCTATCTATTGTATAGGATAAGATACACTTTAAGGTTCCTACAACCCAGTGAAGAAAGAGACGTTATTTTTCTTAGGGATTTTCACCCCAAAGTACACATTAAACTCACTGGGTAAAGTCACCCACTACAGGAATTCAGACTTAACTGTTCGGGAGGGCTGCCCTGGTACCTGCAGGAGATTATTCTGATGTGTATGTAGCCAGTGTGGAGAATCCGAGGTAATGTACATGAAAGCATTCTGTAAACCAAGGTCCTAATCAATATGGGTGTGATTTCCACTTTAACTGATTCCTTCTGCCTGTTGTCTCAATTCTCCTAATACCAAGATTTTCATTTCCAAGGAAGAGAAAATGAACTAACCTCYCGACTCCCCACACAGTGGTCTATCACTCTCCCTTCCCAGCTAAGCCCTGCCTACAGGGGTCCAGGAAAACTGAGCCCTCACTCCAGAGTTCTTCCTTTTGTGGGGCAGGGGGAGGTTTCATCCTTCCAGGAAGGAGCACTGCAAATCTGGTGGAGCTCCAGAATGCTGGCTGGGCCTCCCTTAGTGGCAGGCAAGGGTATGTATCACAAGATTGGGTAGCTGCCCCTCCACTTTCTTTTTCTTTCGGAGGACTAGACAACTTTCTTCTTCTCTCCTGCACCTCACACTTTCTCTGGTTTTCTCTTCCACCTTCACGCTGTGGCAGAACATGGTCTGATCTTCACATCTTCACATTCAGCCTCTTCTCTGTTCTGCTGAGAGGATGACCAATGTGTCTGAACTAGTAACTTCATTCTGCTTTTCATTCCCAATGGGCTTTCTCAATTAGCATCTTAACTTCACTGTTTTATTCCTCATTGTTTTGGACAGTTTTGCCCTCTGCTATTCGTAAAGGTATGTCCCCCTTCCTATCACGCTGCCATTCAAGCATCCCAGGAATCCAAGGAACACACATTCGTAGACAGGTTTGTGAGCCTCACCGAGTAGAATTTCTAAAATGAACCAAAATTGACAGATACCTGTTATGAGGTTGTGACCAGACAGACAAGGGAACCCAAAGGTAAATTAAGAAATGGAGAAGATGAAAACATAAAGACACAGAGGAGAAAGGAAAAGCATGGGAAGAAATGAGAAAGGGGAAGGTTGCTACAGTGTGAGGGATTTTAAAGTCACACACTGAAGTGTGTGTSATTTTTGTTTTTTAAGAAGGCATATAGCAAAAGCCAGGTGCAGTGGTGTAGGCCTGTAATCCCAGTGGCTCAGGAGCCTGAAACGGGAGGATCTTGAGTTCAAATCGAGCCTCATCATGATAGCAAAGCCCGAGTAACTCAGTGAGACCCTGTCTCTAAATAAAATACAAAATAGGGCTGGGGGGGTGATGCTCAATGGTTAAGCACTCCTGGATTCACTCCCCAGTACCAAAAAAAAAAAAAAAAAAAGCATAGAGCATCTAATTTAGAAGTTGTTTCAAAGGCGCTCAGTGCAGTTTCCTGATGAGCAGCAATGCAGAGGGGAGAGAACTCTGATGACCAGACCGGGAGGCCTAAAGACAGAGCCTGGTGAGTCTACTGGTTATGACCCTGAGGAAAGCACCTCTCAGTTTCCCTGTCTGTAAAACAGGTATTACAAAGGTTTTCCTTCGTCCTGAGGCTGGGAGGGTGAAAGGGTACCCTGCTGTATGACCAAGAACTAGACGTACAGATACAGCTATTAACAAGCTGTAAGTAAGAAAACACGTTGTTAGTAATTTTTAAAATTTGTTTTTTGTTGCAGATGGACACAATACCTTTATTTTATTTATTTGTTTTTATGTGGTGCTGAGGACCAAACCCAGGGCCTCATGTGTGCTAGGCGAGCGCTCTACCACTGGGCCACAACCTTAGACSGCATTTTGGTTAACTTTTATAGCCTCGCATGAGCTCGGTGAAGAGGGAAGATGGATTCCGTGATAAATAATTCACAGGGAGATGGGGAAGATGGGGAGATGGCTTGTGCCTATCTATTTCCAAGTTTTTGGATATAAGAGAATGCATTTATGCATTTCTTATCTGTAAAAGAAAACCCAAAACACTGTTTAAAAAAATGACTGATTTATCAGAAATAGAGAAGACAGAAGAAACTGGTAAATGACACTATGGGATGCAATCAAACCCAGAATGTAGAAAAACTAGAAAGACAATTTAATCCCATTTTTCAATAAATGTAATATGAAAAAGAAAAAAAATAAGAAGGGAGAGGTATTACATACTTTTGGGACCTACCAATTTAATAGAATATGTGGACTCTGGATTCAGATTCTAATAAATTTTAAAAGGATATTAAAGGGATAACTGGGTTACAAATACTGACTGGATACTAGATTACTAGATGTTAAAAAAAGTTTTTTGTTTTTATTTTTGTATTAGGGATTGCACCCAGGGGGCCCAACCACTGAGCCATATCCCTAGCCCTTTTTATATTTTATTTAGAGACACGGTCTCACTAAGTTACTTAGGGCCTTACTAAATTGCTGAGGCTGGCTTTGAACTTGAATACCCCTGCGTCTCTGGTGTTACAGGCATGTGCCACCATACCTGGTGAAATTGTTCTTTTCAATTTCACTGTATTGTTATATGTTTTAAGGAAGAAACTTTCTGGTAGAGACACACACTGAAGTGTTTGTGGATGAGGAGACTCTTGTGATTTTTTTAACACAATCCCATGGAGAAGTACAAACTGATTAGTGTTGAAGCTGAGAGATGGAGAGACAGGGGTTCCTGTTGATGTTTCTTTTGTGTACGCTTGAAAATATCCACTTTAAAAAAGTAAAAAAAAAAAAWGGAATAGATTCATGTAATGAAATTGGAAAGCTAACACATAAGTGGGAAAAAAAAAAAAAGGCAACACATGTAGAATGTCATCCTGCTGGTCTGTTTTTAAAAATACACAACTATTAACATACATGCCTACACATGCACAGGACACCCAACTTTCTTTCTTTCTCTCTTTCTTTCTTTTTGATATCMGAGATTGAACTCATGGACACTTAACTACAAAGCCATACCCTCAGTCCTTTTTATGTTTTATTTTGAGACAGAGTCTTACTAAGTTGCTTAGGGCCTCTCTGAAGCTGGCTTTGAACTTGTGATCCTTCTGCCTCAGCCTCCAGAGTGGCTTGGATTATACATGCGTGCAGCCTCACCGGGGACCCAACTATTGAACAGTAGAATTTACCTGGGGAGAAGAGCAGGGTTGTGGGGGAGGGTGGGTAGCATGGAAACTCTCACCTTTGTATTCTTCTGTATGACTGAATTTTAAAAACTCAGCATGTAAACAATTGTATATGCTTAATTTTATTGTAGAAATAAAATAAAAAGAGACATCCCTACTTACTTTGCAATGGCCTCATCCCGGTCCCTGATGGCTTTCTGAAGCTGCTCCTTTGGCTCCTTGTCCTCAGATGTCACTCTGAGTCGGTCCCTCTCCTCTTTCAGTGCAGTCATCTCCACACTCAGTAGTGTCACCTAACAGGAGACCAAAGAAAGATGAGTGTGATAATACCACTGCTGCTGGCCGGGGTGACTTCCCTTCCAAGAGGGAAAAAGGACCCAGAACCTCCAGGCAGGCCTRGGTGTGTGGCGAGCGGATAGGTGTCCTCCTGTTGCCGCCTTGCTCCAAGGCAGGGCCCTTCTTTCCTGAGAAAGGAGCCACATGCTGGCATGTGACCTAGATTGGTCAGTCACTCCCTGCTCCTGGGAGGTGAGCAAGGCTGCAGGAGTGGGGATTATTCCCAAGGCAGCAGAATGGTTCTGCTGTCCCCTCCCCACAGCGCCCTCCTGTTTGGCAGCTGAGCTCTCCCACTTTTCTTCCCATGGGTTCCGTGAGCTATCAGAGTTAATTCTAATGCATTCAGAAGAAATTCCTGTTGTCAGCAACCAGAAACCCTGCCTGGTAGAGCTTCAGTAAGTGTGGGTTAGGCTGATAGGATCAGAAATGAATTGGGATGCCTGACCCCACCTTCTTGTTAAATATCACACATACTTTGACAATTTTCCAAAGGAGAATCAGTTTATTCAGAGCTGCCTCTCTTCCATATGGGGACAGATGTCACCTTTCAGCACCCTCTTCAGCTTTTCAGGTCTTGGGTCTAATCATCTTTAGATAAAATGAAACTGAGCAAAATCCCCAGGACTAAGGCTGAAGATTGAGCTCCCCAGACTGAAAAGGCAAGACTGCCAGCCCTAGGAGCACAGGCAGGGGCAGCCATTCTGGGAGAACTCAGAGGACCCTGAACAATGAGCTGGGGTAGGAGGACAACTTGTTGCCTTGATGTTGCAATGGACCGTGAATTCTGAGGAGTCTGGTAGGTAACTCACTTTTGGGTGGGTGGGGTGGGGAAGACAGTTTAAGTGAGCAGGGCTCCAAGCCTAGGGGAAGTACAGGCGCAACTGCAGAGGCCGGGCTCGCACTGCACTTGCCCTGGGGCAGACAAGGTGCCTGGAGACGCCCAGCCTCCTGCTAGTCAGCAGCAGATTGGTTCTGCAGCCAGATGGATGGAACTCAAGACCCAGAAAGCACCTGGCAGAGGCAGCAGGACCTCCTTAGACAGAGCCTCAGGCCAGGTGGTGGTTCAGCCAGATGTTTAAGGATGGGGAAAGCCACATGCTGGGCAGGAAAGGCCTGCATTTAACTGCTCCACAGAAAATTCCAGAAGAACTTTTCAGAAACCCTAGATAAGCCAGAGCCCACCTACCTGCCTTAGGAGAAGGGGCAAGGGACTTTCATGTTCGAGCCATATATACTTTCCACAAAAATTAGGAAAACAAAACAAAACACCCAAAACTATTTCTACCACCAAGTTGTTAAGAGGATCAAATGAGCTTTAGTTTAGCTCACCAAGGACCAGGGTGGGGTGGTGGGCTCCACTCTCTTCTCCTCCCAGCCAAGGTGACGTCAACAGTCATCGTGAGAACAGATCCGGCTTGACTACACGTGGTCTTGGGTAACATCCACCCCCTGACCCACTTTTTCCAAATGAGGTGGGTATCTGCACAATTAAATAGTATCAAAGACAATGCCCTGAGGCCATGTACCAAGGGCTGGATCTGCTCTTCCATTTAACAATTATTTGAGCGTCGCCATAGGCAGCCTTGGAATAGGAAGCTGAACTGGCCAGGGGCTCTCTTGAGGAAGGGACTCAGGAAGGTTTCAAGGAAGAAGTGAAGCCTGCCCTGGAACTTGAAGGGTAAGTGGGTGGAGATAAGAAGAGGTGAGAGGAAGGTAGGTAGTGAGCTGGAGAGAAGGCCTCCGTGTGGGGAACCTGAGGAGTGTGCAGCTCTGCCCTTTTAGAGCTCATGTTCAATTGTGTTAACACAAAAGCGGGGTGGGGGGGGTAGAGATGAGAGAGCAGGAGACTGTGGCTAGAGCGTAGCCCCTCTGTTGGCCRCGGGGCCCAGGCCTCCCTGACCTGAGAATAGGAGCCAGCCACCTACAGGCAAGGGGCATCCTGTTTCCATGTCACTCTTYAGGAAGGTCATCCATCATGTGCAGGAAAGCAGATAGACTGCAGCAAATGAATGCAGGTCTGAAACAGGGCAGGGGCCGGGACAGTGGAGTGGGAAGAGCGGAGAGCCTGAAGAGGAGGGGTCACCACCTCATTCTGGAGCTCCAGGACACGCTCTCCTGGGCTCAGCCTCCTTCTGGAGTTGCTGGCAGGCGTGAAGGACCCCAGTGAGGCTGCACTGAGCCTCCTACCCCTGGACTGAACTGGAGGCCCCTGGAGGACTGGTTTTCACATTCTGCAGACTAATCTTAAAGACCCTCCTGCTCCTGGCAACTGCTCCACAGTCACTCAAGTGAGGGGGGCTGGGGCAGGGGGGGGGAGCCCGGAGGGGGGTGCTTTGCCACTGATATCATAGGAGGAGTTGGGCAATCTTCAGGTCTGCCCAGGGATTTCTGGATAACAGTCAAATTAAACTTGAGCTTTGTTTTATTAAAAAATTTGGGTAAGTTTCTGAGGGGGTGGGGTACCACTGGCCACTCACCTACACCCACATCTGACTTGTAGTTCCCAGGAGGGAAGAGCACTCTCACACAGGAGAGCAGCAGGCTTGGAGGATAGTTCATTCATCATATGAAGCCTGACCCTGGTCTAGGAGTTGTTGGCTAGAATCTTCGTCCCAGCCAACCCTGTCTGGGTGGGTCTGAAATATAGTAGGGGCCAGGAGAGTGGAATGGGAAAATGCTGAGAACTCCCAAAGGGTCCAGAGATGGCTCTGACTGCCCTTGTGACACTGTATAGTCYTGGACGGCAAGGGTCCTACACAGCCACTTTGTGCCCCTCAGGGTCGAGGCACACTGGTGGGCATGGCAGATGCCAAACTAACCCTGATGAGGAATGTCCTGCCCGCTGTGTTGGTCGCCGTTTCTAGGTCATTCTGGAACTCAATCTACACCTCAACTGCTGCTATTCTGGGATGTCAGCATGACTCCCATGGGACAGTTCTGGTAGATGTAGCATGGCAGAAAGGCTTTCTGCTTTGAGCATCTGGAAGAGATGACCTACAGGAGGAGAAGCCCAATCTATACCCACATGAGACGTGAGTCCAGACAGCTGCTGGGTGAGCTATGTGAAGAGGGTCCACGGGAATTGCCTAAACTGGTCATTAGCTGAACTCGTAAGCAGCCTCCTAGTGGAGATGGCTTCCTAAATAGTTTTGCATCTGACTCTTGGCAATCTGCTCTTTGCTTGTATTTCTGAGTGAAATAATGTCCTCTGGTAAATTTCTAGTTTTTATAATCCTGRTAAACAAAACCCCCCAAACCAGTTAATACCAAAGAGCTGATAAGCAAAAGCTTATTTAAAATAAATAGGCTGGATGCAGTGTATGTGCCTATAGTCTCCACTACTCAGCAGACTGAGGCAGGAGGGTCTTGAGCCCAGGAGTGCAAGGTCAGCCTGGGTGATACAGATAGATTTTATGTCAAAAATTTTTAAAATTAGGGCTGGGGACACAGCTCAATTGATAGGGTGCTTGTCTTACATGTACAAGGCCCTGGGTTTAACCCAGTACCACACACACACACAAAAATTAAAAACTTATAAAAAGACATAATAAAATAGAATAAAATATCATTTTATTCAACACAAAGAACTTTCAGATCCTACTCTGTCTTGCATTTTATTGTTCCAGATTGGAAGATTTGTCCCTACATGTGAACTGCTCTCCCTTGCTCTGTAAGACTACCTGAGGATCTCGAGAGTTTAGGGAAGAGAATGTCTTTGGCTTTCCAGCTCACTCCCCAGGATCTGGCCAGGAATAAACCTCAGCTTTAAATAGCATCTTCCTGTCTTTGTTCAGTTGGTAGAGTGCTTGCTTTGCAAACACAAGGCCCTGGGTTCAATCCCCAACACCACAAAAAAAAAAAAAAATTTTTTTTTTGTATTGTAGTGATGGCAATAGGGGGGTCTCCCACAATCTTTTAAGAGGACCACACTGGTAAGATTACTTAGATGACCCAAAAAGACAGTTTACTTCTATTCAGAAATTTTGAGTGTAAGAAAACTAAAGGAAGAGCTGGCCCCAATTCTATCCCACAGAAACTTCACGGAGAAAGAAGGGAGGAGGACCCTTTGGACCAGGAAAGAAGAGGCTGAGTCAGGCAGGGTGTAAACCACTGTTTGCTGTGACCCCCAGCAGCCAACCCAAGGAGGACAGAACTGGCACCCAAGCATAGTCAAAACCAAGAGTCTCTATTTGTCTCATAGGACAGGCTTTAGAAGCTCTTCCTGGTTAGGACTGCTCCTAAGTCCTTTAAAATTTTTCAGATCCAGACTATAAATGTCTTTCTCCATGTTCACTCCATATTCACAGAGATTGGAGTCATGATCAAACAGGAAAGGAACAGCACAGGCAGCAGAAAATTCCCTCAAGCTGAAGACCAGGTTCGCGGTGGTGACGGCACTCACACAGAGGGCCACAGCCCCTTTCCTTACCAAGGGGCTACGGGGAACACGGCAAGGGGCCTGGAAGCAGGGCTTTCAACTGCCAGCTGCACCCATCAGCCTGGCTCTGCAGACATGTCACTGGAGGAGTGGAGAACCGGCTGTTCTCAGTCCTACCAAGGGGACTGAAGGCTGAATGAGAGGACTGGTTTCCTCTGAGGACGCCCCGTTCACCTTAACTTCAGTCACAGTCTCCTGAGGATATGATGGAGGAGAGTCGATTCTCACACAGAAGTGGGGGAGCTGGGGGACCAGTGCACATTCCCCACACAGGCTGAGGGTGGGGTGCTCACCTGACTGTGGAGTTGCTGCAGCTCTTCTAGGCTCTGCCTCAGTTTACCCCTCTCCCCCTCCATGAGCTCCCTCAGGGCTCTTGAGTCCTCGCTGGTCTGCCTTATCTGTTCTTCTAAAGAGTCCTCATCAATTCTCCTGGAGCTCTGACAGCAGAAGCCAGCCAGAGATGGAAAGGGAGGGATGGACAATGGGGAGAGATGGAAAGGAGATGGAGGAGAGAGAAGAGATGGTGAGGGGAAGGAGAGAGGTAGTTAGGGAGAGAGACTCTTGAGTTCATTTCAAGACACAGCGAGACATCCATTTTCATTTCAGGCTTCAGGGAGAGGAAGCTGTGTGTGTGAATCATGCKCTTGCTGATAGCCCCCACCTCCCACAGTGACCTGCACACTCACAGCGACACAGCCTGGCCGACACCCCCAGGCTCATCTGCCACCTTCCTCTTACTCCTCCTAGTAGAGGCAGAAAGACGGCTATTCTGCAGGGGGTGAAGCCTGAGAAGAAAGTTCTAGAGCTGGGCTGGGAATGCAGTCAGGGGGATCTCAGGAAGCTGAGGCAAGGCCAGTCTGCACAGAATGCACGTGACATCCCCACAGGGAGCCACATCTGAAATTCTAAGAGGGCCCTGGCATTGATGTCAGCTTTTTGTGCTTGCTTACACTTTTTTGTTTTTCTGGTACTGGKGACTTAACCCAGCAGTGCTTTACCACTGAGCCATATCCCCAGTGCTTTTTAAAAAAATTTTGAGACAGAGCCTCACTAAATTGCTGAGGCTTGCCTTGAATTTGCAACCCTCCCATTCCAGCCTCCTAAATTGCTGGGATAACAGGCATGGTCATTGTGCCCAGCTTTTGCTTACATTCTTCTGGCAGAAGCATTAGGTCTTCTAAGCTTGCCTATCCTTAGCTCATCCCACCACCAGGACCAAAAGGCTAAGAAGAGCAACCTGATGTTTTTACCTGAATACTTCTTTCTTTCTTTTTGGTACTGAGGAATGAACCCAGGGGGTGCTCAACCACTGAGCCACATCTCCAGCCCTATTTTTGTATTTTATTTAGTGACAGGGTCTCAGTGAGTTATTTAGGGCCTYGATAAGTTGCCAAGGCTGGCTTTGAACTCTTGATCCTCCTGCCTCAGCCTCCCAAACTGCTGCGATTACAGGYGTGTGCCACCATGCCTGGCTTGATACTTATTTGTCTATTCAGTTTCCAAGGGAAATCCTCACACTTGAGTTAACTCTTTACCCTGGTGCCTGCAGGACAACTAGGAGCCTCCATTCCCTCGCACTTGGCCCCTCTGCCTGATCATAGGTACTCAGTGTTCTCAGATGTAACAAGGGGAAGGAATTCTGACATAGACTAGACAGACTCTGGTCCTGTGGTTGACATCACCTGCTGCATTAGGCCCACCCCCTGCTCTCTCCTCTTACCGTGGGCTCCATGCCATCCACGATGCTCTGTATCAGCCTCTTGAGCTCATTGAGGGCCGTGCGCAAGCTGCCAGCTGGCACATCCTTGGCAGACGACGTTTCTGAAGACTCGTCCATGGAGGAGTCCGTGGACACAGCCGAGTCAGCGCTGTCATTTCCTCGAAGGTGTGAGCACAGATAGCGAACCTGGCAGTAGGCCTCCCAGAGCTGCAGTCTCAACTGTGTCACAAAGAAATATTCTTGACTATGGACTCCAGAGAATCCTCGCCATCTTTGTCTACTATCTGAACCCAAGGACACCAGTTCTAGGAGAAAAGATTTTGGTTTTGTTTTCTAAAATCATCTGTACCAAGAAACAYTCATTTTAGGCCCACTATACCTACCCAGCCTGCCAACTCTCACCTGTCCTGCTCTCTTTTTTGCCACTTCTTTATTTTATAATCAGTCCTTAGTTGGAGTCAGGAAGTGACAGGGGAATGAGAGATTGTAGGAGGATGAAACACATGAAAAGCAGCCAACTGGGTGGAGTAAGGTTGAACCTTAGTCAACAGCATTTCCTCAGAGTACGAGGTGAAACCAAACAGGTGTGTCTCTGCCTCTGACACTGTCCTCTGGAAGCTCTGCTCAAGGCCTTGATGGACAGGTATGTGGGAACTAGAGGGCTGGGGACAGAATTCAGTTAGGGCCCACCTCATACTGCCCCAGCCTGCAGGCCTAGGGGCTTTCACCAAGCGACAGCAGAGTGTTGGGAGGACAGGAAGTCAGTACCTGCTCTCTCTCCTGCTCCAGCTCCTCAGCCTCCATGCTCTGCTCGATCTCCGACAGGAGGGATGCRCTGGTGGCCGCAGAGCTCTGCAGACTCCTCTCCTCAGTGAGCTCCTCCACCTTCACCTGCAGCTGTCGGTAGGAGAGCCGCACCTCCTGCAGCTCCAGCTGGCTTTGGTGCAGCTTTCAAGGAGAGAGCAGAAGCTAGCGAGGCTCATCCCAACCAAACCAGCAAGAAGTGTCTGAGCCTGCACACTTCTAGAACCAACCCACAGAAAAACACAGAGGTATGAGGAGCGGAGCAGACTGCACCGGGAGGCCGCCAGCCAAACCCAGAGCTGGGAAACTCCCCAAGACAAAGAGCTCCATTTCCTCAATGAAGCAAAAGGAGGAAACTAGAAATTTCAAGCGGCATATCAACCAAATGCAATGTGTAGGCCTGTTTTAGTTTGTATCTTGATTCAAACAAAAAACATAAAAAATTATCACATTTATAGGACAATTGGAAATTTGAACATTCACTGGAWTTTTTATGATAAGGACATACTGTTAATATTTAAAGATATATAGTATTGGGGTTTTATATGTGTGTGTGTATACATATATTTTTTTAAATATTTATTTTATAGTTGGATATTTCACTCATTTATTTTTTACGTGGTGCTGAGGATCAAACCACATATATTTTTTCAGTGAAAAAAGTATCTTCAAAGTACAAAAATTATAATTTATAGTTTAAAGATCTTTATTGGCTTTATTCTTGATTCTAGGATCAGGTAACACTTCACTCTGTAAAACAGAATAAGTATTCCATTGAAGTATCTTTTATTTACAACTATACTTATTGAAATCCTGGGACTAATTTCCAAGCAATAAAAAAGGAGTGACATCATGAAGCGGGAGCAGCCCAGCTGGGGCTGCTGGCTGTCAGAGCCGGCGGCAGAACACACAAGCTTCAACACACTGCTCCTCGGCTGGGTCTGCGGAACCCTCCATAATGAAAGATTCAAACACACCTCCCAAGTAAGATGCCATTTTGGGGCTGGGATTGTGGCTCAGTGGCAGAGCACTTGTTTAGCACGGGTGAGGCACTGGGTTCGATCCTTAGTACCACATTAAAATAAAGAAATACCAAATGTTGATGAAAGTGTGTAATAATAAGAACTGTCACTGCTGGTGGGAGTGGAAAACGTATACACACTTTGGAAAAGTGCCTGGTGGTCTTTATGATCCAGCAACTCCACTCTTGGTTGCACACCCCCAAATATAAAATGAGGACAAGAGACAGACACAGGATATCACAACAGTCATGACTTGGAGAATATCCAAATGCTAGTAAAAACAGAATGGATAAATTGTGGTATGTTCATATGTTGGAAAAACATATATAATAAAAAGGAACAGGCTGCTACCACAGACCACAACATGGCTAAAAGCCAGACATAAAAAGTACATAATATAAAATTCTGTCATTAAAAAGCTTCCATTAGGGGGCTGGAGTGGTGGATCAATGGTAGAGTGCCTGCCTAGCATGTGTGAGGCACTGGGTTCGTTTCTCAACACCACACATAAATAAATAAAATAAAGATCCGYTGACAACTAAAAGATAATTTTWAAAAAAGTTTCTATTAAAAACTTCACTGAGATAGATTGAACTTGAGCAAGAGGCTGGCTTTTGAGGAAGGGGTAGGGTATTGCTTGTGGGGAGCTGATAATATAAAAATTCAGGGGAAAAAATTCTATCTTTTTTTTTGTGGGGTGGTACCAGGGATTGAACTCAGGGGCACTCAATCACTGAGCCACATCCCAGCCCTATTTTGTATTTTATTTAGAGACAGGTTCTTGCTGAAGCTGGCTCTGAACTCGAAATCTTTCTGTCTCAGCCTCCAGAGCTGCTGGGATTATAGGCATGTGCCACCACACTAGCAATATTTTCTATCTTGACCCAGATGTGGGGAGGGGGTTAACAAATGTACATGTTTGTAAAAATTCACTTGACTATCTACTTAAGGATTTGTATACCTTACTATATGAATGATATGTTTTCATGAAAAAATTAAGGAGAATAAAGGTAGCTTGGACAGGAGCAGGGGTGGGATTTGGAATAACATGTAGGCAGTGATGCCAAAAGCTTTGCCCCATGGGAAAAAACAGTKTTTTCCTGTTTTCAGTGTCATACCTAACCATTTAAAAGAGGCCCTAGGGTAGAGGGCCAGTCTGCCTCATTCCCGTATGAGGGATTGAGCCACAGGTGAGGAGAGCTTTCCCAATACCACTGTGAGGTACAGCTGGACTTGAGACTCCCAGTCAGGGCTCTCACTTTCCACACACTTTGCTTGCTTGCCTCCAACAGATGAGCAGTTCCTTAAGTCTGTCTTAAGGACCTCTAAAGACGAAGTCCCATAGTTTCAGTTCTAACTAACACTTATGGGCAGAAATGTCCGTCACCTTAGCCTGTCTAACATTAGTCCTGCATCCTGTACAGTAAGCTGTTTGCTCTTTCCTGGTCCTTTTCTTTCTTTTTGTTGCACTGGGGACTGAACTTAGGGCCTTGTTCATGTTAGGCAAGTGCTCTACCATTGAGCTACATCTCTAATCTTTTTAATTTTTTCGAGACAGGGTCTTGAAGGCCCAAGGTTGGCCTTGAACTTRTGATGCTCCTGCCTCCGTCTCCCAAGTAGCTAGATTTATAGGTGTGCCCCATTGTGCCTGGCTTTTTTTGTCCTTTCTGAAGACTGGAGAGGGTTAATAATTACGTAGAGATGTTACTTTTCAAGAGCTTTTCAAATAGCTTCCATTTTGCAAGCCAAATATTAGATAWATAACCTCTGACTTTTCCCATAGATTGCTTTTTGATTTATAAAACAGTTCAGAGATTTTCCCGTAAGCCTACATTTTTTAGAGCTGACAAGGCCCCAGATATCAATGAACCCAAGCATCTCATGTTCCTGACAATGAAACTGAGGCTCAGAGAAAGGAAGGGTCACCAGATGAAGGGAGGGCAGCCATGCAGGGTCCACAGCTTCTGGCAAGGCTCCTCCTTGCTCTCACCACCACTCCTCTGGCCCCTCCGCATTCTTCATGGAGTCCACACAGGGAACCATGCTCTGGTGAAAGGTCACCCCTCCTGCACAGGAGGGACCACCCAGTCATCACTGCTAAGTGCTGCCCTCTTCCCTGTGCACTCCTCACACAGCAGTCCCTAGCTGCAGAGTCCTCGCCAGTGTGCTAGTGGCCAGGCACAGGGACAGTGTTCTGTACTTGTCACATTCACAGATTCATGGACTGCACCTCCCCATACCTTAAAAGATGTTTTTCTGGGGACTGGGAGAAGAACTTCCTGGGGCCATCTTTGTTCCATTAAAAGGAGAAGGGGGCTGGGAGTGGTCTGCACACCTGCAATCCCAGTGACTTGGAAGGCTGAGACAGGAGGGTCCCAAGCTCAAGGCCAGCCTCAGTAACTCAGCAAGGCCCTAGGCAACTTAGGGAGACCTTGTCTCTAAATAAAAAAGGCCTAGGGATGTGGCTCAGTGGTAAAGTGTCCAGGGTTCAATCCCGTGTGTGTGTGTGTGTGTGTGTGTGAGTGAGAGAGAGAGAGAGAGAGAGAGAGAGAGAGAGAGAGAGAAAGAAAGAAGTGAATATGAATGAATATGCTGCACTGGACTTTCCAGACTCTTGGCCAAGTCATCTTGTGGCTCCTGAGAGAGGCAGACTCGGGGGGCACCAGCAGCAACTCAGAGCTCTGGCTCTCAAGGAGGGAACAAACTCCCAGGCCTGTAGCCAGTACTTTAGGTGCCCTGGGAGCCTCACCTTCACCCATTAGTGACAGGAAATGGTTGGTCAATGGAAACAGTGGCCTAAATGAGCCCCAACTAGAAGGGTTTGGAGCCTGGCTGCTCAGAGGAGGAAAAAGGAACTGGCAGGCCTGCTCTACCTGGTTCCCATGGACTAGCAATACCTGCTCACCATGGGGACTCCTCCAGTTCTGGTTCTGAGGAAATTCAGCAAGAAAACAATCAGGATTACTGGTGTGTGTGTGTGTGTGTGCGTGTTTGTGTGTGTGTGTGTGTGTGTAGGCATTCCTAGGAAGCATTTGGCACAGTTACAAACAGCATACTAAGCTGGCTAAATGCTTTACAATTATTTTCTAGACAACTCCATGTACATCTCAGCAGGAGAAGTTCTGCACAGACAAATACGGTTCTTATGCACTGGACAAAATTAGTTCAATTACTCATAAACCCTCAAAGGTGCTTAATTAGTTATAACAGCAAAAGAACAAAAGATCAAGAAAGGTCTGGTTCTCTAGTCAGAGATTCATTCAACCAGCTGGGCAGATATGTGTAGAAAAGCCAAAACACACTAGGGAAGAGTCCATTAACTGTGAGAACTCTCTAAAATAATAAGTATCATCTTCTGTACAATGAAGATGACACCAAGTATATTTCTAGGTATAAACAGGGATGACATTAAATGCTTTGTGTTTATACAAAGTTATGCTCATAGTTCTCAAGTGAGCAGAAGTGGGGGCACTTTCCTCTCTGACTTCAGTGTGAGGTAACTTGATGTACCTTAGGGCACATGGCCCCTGGTCACCTGCCTCCTAGGTCACCTGCCTCCTAGGTCACCTGCCTCCTAGGTCACCTGCAGTGATTGAGGGTGGGTGCTCTCCTAGTGAAACCCACCATGCTGGGGTTAGGCCCCATGCACATCTACGAAACAGGGCAGCTAAGTTGTCCTTAGAGGAACAATTCAGATTCTTTTTACTGGGTATTAAGAGCTTAGCAAAATGCTTGCTRTAAACTCGGTACTCAGTTGTATCAGGTCAGTAGCTTAAAAATCTGTTTTTGACAGCAGGACCCCTAATCCCATAGTGAAAGAGATCAAAAGGGGACTCCCCTGGTGGAGGCAGGCCCATTACCTTGCCTGCTCAGAGTTCTGCTCCCCCTTGACTGAGGGTTTAAGATCATAGGATTAAATGCATTCCAAGGCCACTGGCTCAAATCTGGCTTAGGACAACTTCATGTTACCCGAGTAAAATGGAATTTTTACTCCTTTGTCAGGGCAGGTCATTTCAGGAACAGATGGGACTCTGTGGAGGGTACTTGTAACTACTGCTGCAGCTTAGGAAGAGTTTTTCATAAACAGGAAAGATAAGAATTTAGCTGGAAATGTGGATCTTCCAAACAAAGTGGGAACTGCCTGACTTGTCCTARCTCTCACTCTATAGTCTAGTCAGAAGAGAGTAGACAGGCAGATGGTGAGGATGTGCCTGTGGTCTGACCTGTTATTCTTGCTGCTACAGGAATCACAGCCCATTGTACCAGTAGTACCTGGGGGTCCATACTCGTCCTGGCCCTTTCACCCCATCTCTAAGTTCCCAGATACGGATTTGAAATAAGGACTTCTCTCTTATGAATTCATACTAGACTAAAAGTCTCTCCAGGAAGGCACCATTTTTCTCTTTTTCTGTGCTTTTTTCCCTTTTCCTCTCCATGTTCCATCTCAATAGCCCTCAGCAGTGCTTAACAGGATAACAAATGATGGTCAAATGATGACTTTAGGGGCAGGTAAGCAAGAGGTCAACCAGGTGGAAGCGTTCTAGTCTCAATTCTACCAAGTATTTAGTATAGAACTCTGGATGATTTGTTTTCTCTAAGCTTCAGCTTTGCGATGCACGTGAAGGCCTCTATCCCTGCAGACAAGCAGTGTTCACTGCTACTATCACCATCAACCTTGAAAAATGAGAGACTTCTTTCCATTTAGAAAACTGCCCTGAGGCTTTAGTTAGCACCATTTTTTAATTTTTTTTTTTTTTTTTTTTTTAGGGCTGAGAATGGAATCCAGCGCCTTGTGCTGCAGCCCCAGTTTCTATTCAATGTCTACTGGGTCTTACTACATGAAAAGTTACCAGCCAAAGATATAAAAACCCAGAGGATAAAAACTGCTGATTAGGGCTGGGGATGTGGCTCTAGAGGTAGCGCGCTCGCCTGGCATGCGTGCGGCCCGGGTTCGATTCTCAGCACCACATACCAATAAAGATGTTGTGTCCACCRATAACTAAAAAATAAATATTAAAAAAAATTCTCTCTCTCACTCTCTCTAAAAAACAAACAAACAAAAAATGCTGATTAACTGTCCCTCAAAGGGGCTCAGCATTCAGGTGGCAGCTGATAGGTGATATTAGTGCAAGACATAGGCTTCCAAACAGCCTAACCGTGAGCCCAGTGGGAACTCCATGGCCTGGTCTTCGGGCAGGGACCCCTGGGGTGCTCAAGCATCACCTGGCCAGCCACCTCTGTGCAAACACTGCTGCAATCCAGGGTGCTTCCTGCCAGGCTCAAGGAGCCCCAAGGGCAGTGGTCTCCAGTCCCAGGCCAGCCCAGCAAAGCACCTTGGTAGCACATGTACACCTGCCTCTGGAGAGGCTAGGAATAAATGCACTTTTGTTTTGGGGGTTGTTTCTTGTCAAAGTTTTATTTTGTTTGGGGTTGTTTCTTGACAAGCTTGGGGATTCATCTGAGACCTRGTGGTAGTTCCCAAATAAGGACAAATTTGGCTATGGAACCATTTTCTTTAGGAAGGTTAAAAAAAAAAAAAAAAGACTCATTAGACTCACAAAAGGGTCAGGCTGTGCCTTTCCTGGCAACTGGCAGAAACAGAATTATGTCTTGCTGKGTTCGGTGGGCAGCTTCTTGGTTTCTGTTCTGTGCCAGCCAACTAAAACCCCYACTAGAAAGGCAGCAGCAGAGAGCCCTGTGGGCTGAGGACAGCCAGCCCCGTGGGCTGAGGACAGACAGCCACAGGCTTCCTCTGAAATCTAGCAGTTTTCACAGACRCAGAGAGGCCAGAACGACACTCCCAGTGTTCCAGCCATGTTAATAGCCCAGAAAGAACTGCATGAAACTGTCCAGGGGCCAGTGGCTCAGAACACATGGGAAAGATGACCTATGGTACACTTCTCTGGCCATGGGCTAGTGAGTGAGTGTCCTGGGGAATTACAACAGGTCCTCAGTGAAACCTGTGTCACTTGCTCCCACCAACCCCTTTTTTTCTGGCTAACTGCTCCTACTGTCTGACCCTGGTCCCCCAAAGACAACCTCTCTGCCCAGTACCTGCAGGTCTTTGTCATGGCCCTGCCTCTCCAGGATCAGCACCCGGTCCTGTAGCTCCTCCACAGTCCCTTGTAGCAGGTCATTTTCCTCTAAGGTGGCACTGAGACGATGCTCCAGCTCTCGTTTCCGATCTGACAGCATCTTGATCTGAAAAGGCGAAAAGCCAGAGGGGTGGTGTGGAGTTACACCTGGCACGGAAGAAGAGGGACTAGCCCCAGTGACAAAGGCACGTGTCTCTCAGTGCTGTGCCCTAGGACTCAGAGGGCCACCACCTCAGAGAGAAGAGTGATGAAATCCTGGGTTGAAGAGAAAGCCCCTCCCTTCTAGAAAACCATCTGGTGGGGGTGGGAGTCAGCGGAGGGCTGGAATGTGGGCTGCCAGGCAGAGGAAGGGATGGTTAGTGCTCTGGAAATTCCAGAGATAAGACAGAAAAGGCCCGGCCTCAGAGGCGGTGGGGAGAGCCTGATCTTCTGAACTATTCTTCCCTCAAGACATGAGCATGAGAGAATGCCCAGGTCAGCTTTTGAAGCCACTGTGTGCTCACAACTGCTGGCTCTCTTCTATCCTCATCCCACAGTTGGCTCCTTGGGCACTAGAAGTCACAGCTCAGACCTGGGGTGCTGAGTTAACAGAGGAAAGAGCAGGGTSCAGAAGGCAAAGTGATGCCTACATCAGCCCGTGCCCAGAAAGGACAGGAGAGGGACTGTGGGTAACTGATTACTTAGAGCGCCTTTTACCTGACCAAGTAATTTGTAAATAGAAGCAAACTCTCCTTTTGTGAAAAAGGCTGATTTAATTCACCCACTGAGTACCCAGTCAGTCTCCTACAAGCATGTTCTTGTAGAAAGGTCTGTCTACCTCCTCAATGTCAAGGAGAAAGCAGAGGAAAGAGATGTCTAGTCCTCTCTGGCCTCTAGGTCTGCAGGAAGAAAAGCTAAGCCAATGCTCCCAAGGCCAGCAATGCCTCACCAGAACACCACTCTGCTCAGGGACTCCGGAAAGCCCTCTCATCTTCTCAAGCAGTACTGGCTTTGGGGGAACTTTTGGGGTCCTGCAGGTCTCTGACCCCTCAGCTCCTCCCATTTATTAGCTCCCTGTTAGGCTGGTTTCGTATTCAGCTGCACATCTGTAATACTCCTTACGTGGTCTGGAGAATCATGCTTTTAAGTTCTGGGGACCAGCCTCAGGACCTTTTCAGGTTGAGACTTTGGAATGGCTTCGGATCTTGAGAACCCTTTCCCCCCTGCTTCTTAGCTGTTCTCACTCTCTGCACTAGAGTTCTGCTCACAGGGCCACCAATCAATCAGAGGATTCTGATCTGGGGAAAGGAGGTATGTGGCCTTTGTCCAGAGAGATCAGATGGCAGGTAACAAAGAAATACTGTCTCTCAAGTGTGCACCTGGGAAAAGACCAAAAGGAGCAAGCCTCTTTCGTGAATGGAACCACTATTCCTGACAGTGGAACACAGTGACCAGTATGAAGGGAATTCTCCCTCTAGCTCATTTTCATTTAAATACCCTCTGATCTTCAAGTTCTCCTTCCCATGGATCATCTTTGTTTCCCAAGTTTCCCTCAGTGGAGTGTAGAGTAACGAGGTAACGTGATTCTGGTATACAACAGACTCTTAGAAGTGCAGAGTTACATGAAGTAATATATTTGAAATGAACAATTTCACAGCGTGTCTTCCAGTGGTAGTGTCACTGGATGAAGTAAGGAACTGGCACTATGCTGCCAACTCCCTCACTCCACCCTACACACCCTGAAACACATGACCAAATCTGGCAATAGACATTCCTGGGAATGACCCTGTTCCTGAGGGTTTAAAAAAGTGAATGAGCGAGTGGGGGAAAGAGGAAGACGGGCAACTGGAAGGAGCCAGAGCCCGGCCAGGGCAACTGAATGGCAAATCATGCACACGCACAGTCACAGACAGGCATGCCAAACCCCACCGGTACAAACTCTACTTACTTCAAGAACCTGCTGCTCAATACCAGTAGGAAAGCCAAGGGAAAGGAGGAAGGAAGGGGATGGGAGGCAGAAGAAAAGAGAAGATATTGACAGGCTTTAGGAAAAACATCCTCAGGTCATTTATGAAGCAGAGAAGGAGCTGATGAGGTTTCTCAGGCCCCACAATGGCTGATTCCTTGGCCCCAGTGGAGGGTGCTCGTTCTGTCTGGCTCTAGACTATCCCCCAAAGTCTGACTTAGCCAAAGGGGATCAGGGGTCCTTGGAACAGATTGGGTGGAAGCCTCCCCTGGGCAAGTCCCTGCTCTGGCTGAAGTGACCCTCATCCTCTCCTTACCCCCGGGCTGGATGATCAAGTACTGCTCCTGTAGTGTGGCTTTCTTCTCCATGACCCACTCAGGGTCACAGACCCTGGCCATCATGCCTGGCCTCTCTTGTGCTTTCAGTGACATTATTGTGTCCTGGGACCATACATAGTGCTTTCTATGTACTCAACTAGCAAATCTTCCCAAAAGTCCTAAGACACAGAAACTTCTATTACTTTTTTCACTTTACAGACAGGAATAATAGCAGACCCTACTAAGGTGGACTGAACTGGACTTAGGAGGAGTGGAGAAAGGGAAGATGCCCTCCCCAGCTTTTATGTGGGGCTGGCAAGGGTATTTTTGGAGGGATTGACACACTCAGTAATATGTAGTTCACCCATGGTTTCAACAYCCTCAGCAACTCTCAGCACCTTTATTCTTCCAGACAACAGAGGAGCAAGCATCAAGTGCTCCTCAGTTTCTCAGAGAAACGTCTCTCTTCAGAGACTGTTAGTCCCTTTTCTAGAGAGCAGACTTTTKTTTCCCAGCTCAGACGCTCCTTATCCAAAGACTCTGGTGCAGAGCTTCCAAGGAGAAAAGCGCTTCCCTCCATGCGCGGCTGCCAGCAGGCTCACCTCGGCCTGCAGGCTCTCCAGCCGGATGATGTGCTGGTTGGTTGACGAGTTTTTCTCCCGAAAGTCTTCTCTGAGGGCGTGGACCTGCATGGAGAGTTGCCGCTCAACTTCTGATGCCTGCAACAAAGGAGACCTTCAGAGCCGATTTGGAGGTGGGGAGGAAGTCTGCCAGCATGCCTGCCTTTCATTTCTCAAGCATCTCTTTGCACTTTCCATTCCATAAGGAGTTCCGGATGAGAAGCTGCCTTCCCACCCACAATCCATTTGTTCTGTAGCACCAAAGCAGGACACGCCCCACCCCTACCATCAATGACTGTCTAGGGCCAAGACCACCTTATCAACTAGAAGCAACAGGTCCAGGAGAAAGGGCTCTTAAATGTTATCATTATTATTCTGCATATTTAGAAACTCAGCAAACATCCTCACCTTAAGAGAAAGCCTCAGTATTTAACATGAAGTAATGACAGATACACCTTCAGTTTTAAGAGTCCTTTATTTCTCCAATCCACCCGCTTGGCTGGGTTCAGGCAAATCACCTCTGCCTGCATTTCTTACTTCCACTCAACACTGGTTCTATTTTGTTGTTGTTGTTGTTGTTTTGGTACCAGGGATTGAACCCAGGGGTGCTTAACCACTGAGTCACATCCCCACCCCTTTTTATTATTCAAGACAGGATCTTGCTAAGTTGCTTAGGGCATAAATTGCTGAGACTGGCCTCAAAATTGTGAGCCCCTGTTTCAGGCTTCTGAGATTCTGGGATTACCAGTGTGCACAAAGAGTGCAATAACACTGTCACTATTTGAAATTCCTTGTTGAATCTGTTAAGATTTTGGCCATTCCTTCCCCAAGAACATTTTTGTTTTGTTTTTTTGCAACATAATTCTGAGGGAGTGCTGACTGAGGTGCTTGCTTCTTTTCCATTCCACCCACTTATTCTCTAGTGTTGCAGGGGGTCCTCTGAAAGAAGATTCCCTTAGTAAGACATGAACTCTGGCCTCCTGAAGGCTCAGGCTGACCCCATTGAAGAGGGCTCTGCAGGCTGCCCTACAGAGAGCCTTGGACAAGCCAAGTAACTGCCTCAGTGATCTTCTGAGGCCAGATGGGGGTCAGTGAGCTTTATGGGTTCTTGGGGAGAGATCACCATGTACTGGRATGGTTAGAAATGGCTTTAAGGAGGTGGGATGGTGATAATAATGTTGAAATGGTTGGCTAGCTGCTTAATGAGCCTCTCTTTGTAATGGTCACATCTTCAGCAGTTCTCTTTATTTTCAAGTGCTATATAATTAATTGTCTTTTTTGGTTCCACAGATTCAGCACACATGGCCTCACTTGAGAGTCACATAAGAAACCTATTTCTATTTTTTTTAAACAATGAATTACAAAACACAAAACAATAAAACCAAATTAAAACACCTTTTTCTTTTATATTCCAAGTTTAATTTCAGACACCACTGGCTTGTTTTAGATGTCTCACTTAATCATTAGTTTAACATTAGTTAACATTTACTGAGTACTTATTAAGTGCCAAGAACTATTATGTTAAATGCTTTCAATGTCCTCTCTCACCTGTCACCCTTTTCTTCACCAACAAGGGAGTATATTCAGGTTAGTGAAGGAACCTGCCCAGGGCTTCCGCAGGTGAGACCATCAGGATAATAAACTCTGGGCTTCTCACTCTCAGAGTAGGAYTGCAATATTGCCTTCTTGCACTTTTAAATAGCTTTTCCATTGCTCACTACCCAAACCAAACTTTACATGAGTTCAATTTAGTCTTATCTTTTTTTAAATACTAAGCAATTTCATTTAAGGCTCCCGGAATGTCTTCTAATGGAATGGAGGACCCTTTCATGTGCTACAGTTTCATTGCCTGTACATAATTCTGGGGTTTTAAACATATTTGAATTTGCAAAGCACTGGGTAACTCAGGTAGCTAATGGTATCCCTGGCACCACCCCCTTGACTTGACTCTCAAAGCCAAAGTGATGTGCTCAGTCTACAAATCAAGCTCAGCTATTCTAAGAAATGCTTCTGTAGACAAGTCTCTGCTCAAAGTGATCTTTCTAGAAATGGAAATCTGTCTCTTCTTACCAAGCAGTTTGACTTTTTTTTTTTTTAAAGAGAGAGTGAGAGAGGAGAGAGAGAGAGAGAGAGAGAGAGAGAGAGAATTTTTAATATTTATTTTTTAGTTCTCGGCGGACACAACATCTTTGTTGGTATGTGGTGCTGAGGATCGAACCCGGGCTGCACGCATGCCAGGCATGGCGCGCTACCGCTTGAGCCACATCCCCAGCCCCGCAGTTTGACTTTTAAACCACTAAACTAAAAAACTATGTTTCCTTTTAATGCGTGACTCCTCAGATGTGCCTAGAGATGTACAACTTTCAAAGGCTTTTAATCTACATTTCTCTTGTGAATCTCTATTAGCTTGAAGAAGSAGGAATCACTGGCCTCTGTATGCAGACTTTTCCTGGGGGTGGTGGGAGGTTCATTCTTAAATAGAGTAGAAAATGACAGGCATGGTYTACTTCTCAAATCATGAGTTTTACTCACTGTCCCTGATTAGGCAGCAAGTAAGAGTTGAAGCAAAATCCAGCATCTGGGTAATTAGCATTTCCATTTCTCTCTCAGCACTTCATGTTTGTGCCTTTGAGCTCCTCAGTATACACTGTATACATGTATTGAATTATATGGTACTCTGTACAATTAAAAATATCATTAAAAATGAAACAAACAGGGGCTGGAGTTGTGGCTCAGCGTAGAACGCTTGCCCAGCAYGTGGGGGCACTGGGTTCGATGCTCGGCACCATATTAAAAAATAAATAAATAAAATAAAGGCATCTGTCCAACAAAAAACAAAAACGAAACAAAAAAACCTTTCAACATCTGTAATTATGGGTAAATGTAAAATAGATGCCAAGATTTTAGTCAGATATTTGTCCTTTTCAAATTTCTTTCCCTTATAATAAAAGCAGCAGATATTCAGATTGAGGGGAAAAATAAAAAATTAAACAAAAGTTAATTTCCACTTACCCCTAGTCATTACTGTCACTCCCCAGAGGTAGTCACTATCACAAATTTTTCTTGTGGGTCTTCCTAGAAAGTTTCTATTCTATTCACACCTATGTATAACAATACCTACAACCTTCCCTTTAAAAATACATGTATTTYGTGCTGGGGATATGGCTCAGTGGTAGTGTGTATACACAAGACCCTGTGTTTAATACATGTGTGTATTATATATAAATGAACATCTTTTCATCTCAATATGTAGATCTGCCTTTTTTTGGGGGGTGGGTACTGGTGATTGAACCCAGGGGTGCTTAACCACTGAGCAACATCCCCAGCCCTTTTGATTTTGAAATAGGGTGTCGATAAGTTACTGTGGCTGGTCTTGAACTTGTGATCCTCCTGTCTCAGCTTTCCAGGTTGCTGGACTACAGGCGTATGCCATTGTGACCAGCTGTCTTATTCTTTTTAATAGCTAAACAAGTATATCATAACTTAAATTATAAATACATGATGATTTAACTATTTCCTACTGATGAACATTTAAAAGAGTGTTCCAAAAAATTTATTTTGCTATTATAAATATTGCTGCAAAACCCATTTTTGTTCACCCATCTTCATGCTTGTGGAATACCCCATAAGTAAATACATTCCTTAAGTAAAATYTCTAGGTAAAAAAATATGCACATTCATTCTGACAAGTCCTGAAAAAACTTTCCTCCATGGTTGTGGCATCAATTTATTGTACAAAATGCTTACTTCTCAATACTGTGCTGGGTATTATGAAATCATTTAATCTTTACTTATTTCCAGTATCTTTAAAAACTTAAATCTCTTTAACTTTCACTGTATGCAGAAAACAGAAAATGTTCTAGAAATAACTCTAGTTCTGTTAACAGAATGCCAAGAAGTTTAACACTCACATGGTCCTGACCTATCCTAGTGCTTGGGTTACTGTTACTCAACCAATCCTCCAGCRTGAAACACTCTGACAGTGAGTTCTCTCTCCCTGATGGGGCAATTCGGTCAGAGGACCACTGCAGACACATTACCTCCTCTATACTGTGCAGAGATGTTCCCCCAATTACTTTTCTTACTGACATGACTAGCAACAAATGAACATTCTCCCAAACTGAAACATTTAGATTAGGTTTGTTTAAACTGGCCAAGGCAAAACTGTTAACTATATGTTTTGTATTAAATGGAGGAAAGGAAACTGTGTTATTTACCCACAAACATTCATTCATTTGTCAAAAGGAAAAATAAAAAGAAACAATTAACTTAGAAATTATTGCAGGAAAGATCTATCATATTAATATTATGCTGGAAGAACCAAGTCTTACTTTAGTATAGAAAATTTCCATCTGTCTGCTACCAAAGCATGACGGACCATGGGCACCTTGGGAGTGACAGTGAGAGTGACAGGATGATGATGACAGCTATAGCAATAGTTCACACACTGAGTATCTGTCATGTGCTTGACCTGGATCTAAGTAGTTCACATTTACTATTTTGTTTAATCTTCATAATAATAAGTAGTAGTAGGAACCTGAAGTTTCCAATTTAAAGCTGCGGAGACTGAAGTAAGTCCTACTGGCAATGCTAAGTGCTGGATTTAGGGTTCTCACCTCAAAAGCCGCCTCTATTCAGACTTGACACAAGAGTGTCCCCTTTCCATTCCATTCCTCACTCGAAATGCTTATCAAACTGAAAGTGACATTACAGCAACAACCTTTAAAGTACCCTAATTTTAGTTAAGAAGAGAATTTTTAAAAAATATTGTGGTTGAGAACTACTGCTCTAGGACCATGTCGCCTCCGCTTTTTTTTTTGATACTGGGGATTGAACCCAGAGGCACTTAACTACTGAGCCATATTCCCAGCCCCATTTACTTTTAATTTTAAGACAGAGTCTCACCAAGTTGCTTAGAGCCTCACTAAGTTGTGGAGGCTAACCTTGAATTTGTGATCCTCCTCGTTCAGCCTTCCAAGCCACTGGGATAACAGGTGTGTGCCACCACATATGGCTCTCCACATTTTTTTATTTGTGCATATAGTTGTACATACTGATGAGATTTGTTATATATCCATAGATGCACACAATATCACAGT